ATCACATTATATTAATTTTTTAACATGTACATGTGCTTTCTTGAGTAGGGAAACCTTACAGGCACTACATGATTTCAGTCCACAATGTCATAGTGTGTTACTAATGGTCGTCTTGGTGACTGTGATCCCAGCAGCCTTGAGATCATCAACAAGCTTTTGCCGCATATTTCTGGGTTGTTTCCTCACCTTTCTCATCATCAGGTTCTACGTTGGGAGATCTTGCATTGAGCCCCAGACTAAGTGAGATTGATAGTCAATTGGTATTTCTTTCATTTTCTTATTATCACACCAACAGTTGACTCCTTCTCACCTAGATGCTTGCCAATCATCTTGTAGCCCATTCCAGTCTTGTGCAGGTATACAATTTTGTCCCGGATTTTCTTAGACAATTCTTTCGTCTTGAACATTGTGGAGAAATTAGATTCTGATTCATTTAAGGATTCCTTGAACTAGTGTCTTTTATACAGGTAATGAGTACTTGATCAGGAGTAGTAATTGGGTAATAGGACTAGTCTATATGCCTCCTGGTCACATAACCGGTCAGTGGGGTCTGAATCATTGCTGGTTGGTAGGGGGTGAAATATTTATTTTTTTCAATAAAAAAGAAATAAATGTTCAAAAATTAATATTATGTGATTTTCTAGAATTTTTTTATATTCTATCTCTCATTTTCAAGAAGGACCTACCCTGAAAGTTATAGACCTTTCCTATTTTTGTAAGGTGGCAATGTCAGTAAATCAACAGGGGATGAAATACTTATTTTCCCCACTGAAGGTATATATGAATAGAATATCTATTCTTTGTAAGAAATCAGTTTGTAGGAGATCAGGTTACATTGACATATTTTTTTTGTAAAGAGGTTTTTTTGTTAAGTGAATTTTTATAAATGTATTGTTGATAATATTTATTTCTTTTTCAAAAATGTATTGGTGGTAATTTTGTTTTTTAAAAATGTATTGCTGGTAATTTTTTTCAGAAATGCATTGCTGGTAATTTTAACTATAAAAATCCATTTTTATACTTTCATTGTGATATGACACTAGTTTTGGGGCTAGTTATTTGCCCATAGCTGGGACCCTAACAGGTGCTAGCACTCCAGGTCAGGGAAGACTTGGAAACAATACCAATCAAGAGGTAGTTCCACACTCATCAAAATCTCCCAATCAGAGGCCTTGATGCCAGATGTAGTTTATCATCATACCCAGGATTCCAATATGCCTTTGTTAGTTACCATAAGAAATTGCTTTATTTTGGTAAATAAAATTGAATTTTTTAACACATTCACTGCTATGTTGGATATTTGAATCCTTGTTGTAGGTGGTATGTTGGTCCAAAAACACATCTTGGATGACAGAAGACAACAACAAACAAAATAAAAACTTGAATAAAAAAAAAATATTGCCAAGTTTATTTTCATTAAAGAAAATACATCAACAAAAATAAAGTTATAATTCACTAGGCAACAAAATATCTTTGCATACTTAGATAAAGGGTAAGAAGAACGTTGTCCTGGAAAGGAGAGTTTATTGCATACTGTTGCAGCTGGTGATGATGGGTGGAACTGTGGCCAATGATGATGAACTGCTGCTGGGACAGATACTACACTTTAATCCGGTATTTACCAAATCACTCCCCACTGGGCTTTGGATGCAACATAAGGTCAGGTTTTTAATGTAGGGAATCCAAGTGCATACACTCAGTCAAAATTTACCCAGCCTCCACTTACACGTGATCGGGCACAAAGCTTGTCTTAATTGGTTGAAGCTACGGAAAAGATACTACAATATGCTCATGGATTCTGAACCGGGTTGACTTTTGTGGCGAATAAAGAAAACAGCAACCAGCGAGTAAATTCAAGCTCTCCCAGCTGGTATTCCAACCTCGAGTCGTTCCTTCTTGAGTTCTGTCTCAAAATTGCACTAACAGACTTTTCTAGCTGCCAACCATGAACGTCACTCGAAGAACTCTCTGCACTAGGAAAAAGTAGTTGCTTTTATATTTGTCCATATACCCATAATCCCTTGCGTCTTCATGTGGTCCCATAATTCATTGCATTCCTCTCCCATAATGCATTGCATCTTTATTGCATAAAAATGCAATGCAAGTCCCCCCTCATTCTTTTACGTTATCTGGCCGAGGACAGATTACGGCAGAGCAGTAAGTGCTTTTTTCTCCCCCATTTCAACTGCAGTAGCTTTACATGCTAAGCAAATACAGGCTCTTTTTGGCGGGGACAAGGCAAGTTGCAACCAGTTGTGCTTGTCCCAGGTTCTGTCTCATGTCTGCCACTTTGATCCTCATCTGAAATACTTCTTTTTAATGCTTTGAGGCCGTTTTAAATCCTGAATCAATTTTACAATGATTGCTGCTTAAACTTTTACTTCTGGTTGTTTTGTAGTGAACGAAACAAGATCTAGATTTAAAATTCAAATGCTAAGCACTAACTCATTGATTTTTTTAAGAAATTAAAAAGACTCGAATTTACAAACTTTGCTTAACACATATGCAAAAGCAAATCCAAAACAAAACTCGTGAAATTTCACACCTTGATGCAAAATGTTTTTTGGCCAATAGAAAACTAGGAAACATTTAAAAACAAAATTCAAATAATCTTCAATTCTCAGAAACAAATTCTTTTATGGACTTTTCGCAAGCCACCACAAAATTTGTTCATCATCCAATGGAAAGGCCCGAATCATATCTGGGAGTGAATTCCCAAATGACCTTTTCAAGCCCCACAAACAAAATAAAAGACGGGCAAGTTCACCTGTCACCAGAGAGAAGGAGAATGAGCGTATTAACATGTGCCTTAACAAATGTCAAGCGATTGTTATTATTATCTCTAGCTTTCTCCCTCACCTCTTTTATACTTGATAAATGAACAGAACATTTTAAGACTGAGCGATTACTTCAAAGACATTCCTACCCTACGATAACACTCATACATACATATATACATCCACACATACATTCATGCCTACATATACATAAACTCATTCTTGCAAGGACTACTATGAACATTTTGACAACGTTGTATCACCAAAATACATTAATTTTATTTGTAAAGACCTTAATTGATTTATATGTATATAAATTTGTTGTTTCACTTTACAATTTGATTTTCTTGTTTTATACCTCTCTTATGGTGGGCTATTTAACTAACAAGGCCAAGTCAAACTAATCTGTTTCAACACTCCTACACTTCACTATAACTGATAACCCACTATAGGTTTACCTATTATTAGTAATCCTTATGGGCATGTGGCCGAGTGGTTAGAACGTTTGCATTCTGATAATGAGACCTGGGTTCGATTCTCACTGTGATCGATTTGTCAGGACTTCTTGATGCTATTGGAGTGGAGGAATAGATCAAAGCATGCGACACTTTTGGAAAGTGCCTGAAAATCATACCACGAGCTGACCCAAGCCTTGTGAGTGAAATTGGGTAGATGGAACCCTTGGGTGTTGTTGATAGCTGTGCTAGCACAAAGTCACAAGTCATCGTGGCCGAGTGCTTGAGCGTGCTGGCTTGTTCAAATTGTTGATCACACTAGATAACACACTCTTTCCCAGAAACTGTAACTATGGTCTGCCCAGTATAGTTACAGTATAAACCACAGGTGGGATCTGTGGATGTTGAAAAAATGAAATGCACCTGAGCAAGTGTCTGCAATAGGGATTGGCTAGCCACCCTAATAGACAGGTATCCACAAATATGAGTGGCCAGCTATATGCTACATAATATATTGTATATATTAGACACCTCCACTTTTTCACGGAAAACAGCAGCATAATGAAAAAGGTGAAAAACTTAATTAAAATAAAGTTTTATCGTTAAAGATGAAAGACCAAAGAATTTTTGAATTTTTTGAAATTTTTGAATCCTTTCTAACACATTTGAAAATTTGGTTAAAATCATTTTGTTTTCCTGAATTTTTTTTTTTTTTGTTAAAAATAGGAATCCTTGGAGATTGTAAATCACCTTTTTTTTTTTTTCTTCTTTTTTTTTAAATTTGAGCTATTCTAACTGAAAATCTGCTCTGAATTGAAAAATAATGAATCCAATTAAAAATTAAATTATTAAAATATGACATTATTTAATTAGAAAAGCTTTTAATTGCTTTTGTAAATAAGTTATATTTATTGACATTATTGTCTGAAGAAATAAAATTTGTCTGATGAATAATGAATTTTTACAAGAATTTTTTCATTTTTTAAAAATTTTAATTATAATAATTTATAATAGTTTAAAATCGTGTAAAAGTCTGTATTGGGCTATTTCCTGGATAATTAAGTGGAAACGAAATTTACGAATCCAAAATGGAAAAGATTTATAAACGTAGTTGAACTATACTATTTTTAAAAATAATCATTAATGCCATCTATGTTTTTGTTAGTGTAACCTTTATAAATTGCTATAGAAGACTATTTATGCTTTATTTTGGTAAATAAAATTAATTTCAGTACTTTAGAGTGACATTTTTTTTCCTTTTTGTCCTTCATTAAAAAAATTCTTCCAGGGAAGTAACTCAATTACCTTGCTATTTAAAAGTGGAATCAGTATAAGAAAATTTGTGGAAATGGACAGAGGATAATACACTTGCCTACAGAAAAAGAGTTTTCTTTATTATTATACAGTAAAGTAAAATGTAGGGGAGATAATTGTCCGAGTTATCGAACTTGGTTATATTTATCAACACCGTTCATAACGACAACAAATGACTAAAATTAAAAATTTTAATTTACAAATTCAAAATTTATTTAATATTTTACTATTATTACCTTAATAAAAATTTTTGATTTTTTTAAAAATATAAACCACGTTATTTTCTTTTTAAGATTTGAGAAATAAAAAAAAAAAAATTAAACGATGTTTACAGTATTCGCGATCTCATCGCTTCCTTCCTGTCATGGCGGCAGTTGCCGCCACATGACAAAATTTCAACCAAAAAAACGCGTATTTTTCCTATATTACTTTCTTCTGTTGACTTCCATGCACGATGAAGCCTTCCGAGTTGCTGGTCGGTGCGGCCAGGGCAGCTTCCTACAATATGATGTTGCAGGTATCAGTTAAAATAACCTTTTTGCATGTAACATACTGTGGTTGTTAGGCTACGTATCCACAAAGTAGGGATTTGTACATCTTTAATTCGCTGAAAAAAGAGCATATGATGAAAAAACTCCCCAAACGTGATAAAAACAAAGTTTTATCGTCAAAATGTTTGTTGTTATTATTAAGAGGAAAAACCAAAATATTTTTTGATTATTTTATTAATTTTTTTTTTTTTAAATAATCATTTTTAACCAAAATTTTGACATGCTAGAAATGATTATTTTAAGTTAATAAAATAATAAACAAAAAAATACTTAGGAAAACAGGACTTTTAACTTTAAAAGTCTTGTTTTCTTGCTTTCTAGCGGGTGGTCCAAAGATTAGGAAAGTTTAAGTGTCTTATTTTTTTTGGAAATTCTTGCAAAAATCAAATTGTCGGATTTTAATGAAACTTTCAGTACTTATTCACAAATGAATGAAATTATTTTTTTATTTTTTTTTTTTTTTTTTAACCTTGGTAGAAATATTTTTTTTTTTTTTTTACATCTGTTACTCCTCCTTCTTCTTAATTAATGAAATTTCGAGAAATTAAATTTTATCCTTCTTCATTCACATTTATTTATCTTACTTATTATAAAATGCAGATTGTGTGTGTGTGTCTGTACGTTTATATATTGAATCGGATTTCCTACATTTTTCAACCGATTTCAACAAAACTTCACAGGACTGGGTAAAATTACCTTGCAGTGGTTCTGACAGTGCCAAAAATTGGAAAAACACAATTGTTTTTGCATGAAATCAATTTGAAAACACGATTCTGTTGCCAGAATGAAAGGAGGACAACTCATATCGAGTTATACTTATTATAAAACCCAGGTTGTTTGTGTGTGTGTGTATTCGTTTATATATGGGATCGGATTTCCTACTTTTTTCAACTGATTTCAACAAAACTTCACTTTTTTTTGGCAGGTAGTGTTTCTTATTGTCTTGCACACTTTTTTCTTTGTTTTTACATTCAGAATGCTTTAAAAATTCCATTTACAAGACAATTGTTTATAATAAAATTCTATTCAATCGATAGACTCATAACGATTGAAAACAATGTTTTTGTTTGGGTTTAACCAATTCGTAAAAAAACAAAAAAAAACTAATTAATACATGCGTGTCCGTCAACCTTAAACAATAATCTTTGTCAATTTTATTTTTCAGTCTTTATGATGGTCGATACTTGATCTATCTCTTACTGTTACATCCCCGAGCAACACCGGGCTCTACTGCTAGTTAATAAAAGCTAGAAGCAGGACTCCTTGGAGATAGTAAATCATCATTTTTTTTTTCAAGCAGTAACTAACTTACTGAAAATCTACTCTGAATTGTAAAATAAAAAATGCAACAAAACTAAGACATTATTTAATTAGAAAAAACTTTTAATTGCTTTTATAAGGAAACTTATTGTCTAAAGAAAAAAAATTGATGAATGATGAATTTTTACAAGATTCGTTTTCACTTTTTTACATTCTAATTAGAACAACTTATTAATTTTAAATATTTTTAAAAAATCTTTTAAAATTCTATCTTAATTTAACCCTTTTACATAATATTATCATTAAGTTAAAACTATATTTACTAATCATAAATTGAAATAATAATCATAAATTGAATTAGTACAAATCATCAAACATCATTATTTTAAAATATTTTTTTTTTTTTATGTATAAACATGCTGATTTTTTTTTTTTGTATATGGTTAACCATACATGACATTATCAGAAAATAAGAGCAATAAATTTACAGCCAAAAATATTTAAAATTTAATAAAACATCAGATTATGGAGAATATTTTCTTAAATTTTTAAGATTATGAAGTACTTAAAAAGTATATATAAAAGGAGCTCACATTAATTTAACTTTTTTAATGCTTAACAACATTATATAAAAAATATCAAGCTGTCAAACCCACAAACACTTTAAAGACTCAGAAACAGCTACTGTTGGGTTAAAAATGCATTTCTGTGATATTTTAAACTTAAAGTAAATAATGTTTGTTTCAAATCATTAATTATACTTTAAATAAGGTTAATGTTTATCAAATAAATTTTCAGGAAAGTATATTTTATTTTTGGAAGATTTTTTAATACACAGAATTACATTTTACTAAAAAGGAGCACTAATCAGCTATTTTAACATAAAAATCAATTCCAATCAATATACTTTCTATTTGAAACACACCAGAGTATTTAGTTGACTGGAAATAGTAAATTTAATCTTTTAGCTTTCAATTAAAGCTAAAATGGATACTTCAAGAAAGCTTTTTCATTTATAAAAATTTATTTTAAACCTTAGGTATTGTAAATTAGTGAAAGTACCTAAAATAAAAGCTTCAAGAAAGACTTTTCATTTTTAAAAAATCATTTTAAATCTTAGGCAGTAGCATGCAGAAGTGTGACAGACCTGGTATCCATATTGGGTGGGCACCCAATCTAACAATGAAATAAAAATTTTGTTTTGGAAATTTGAAATAAAGTGTTTATTTCATGTTTCATCTGTTTTTACATGTTTAAAATGTCTTCCTTTCTCATATTTCTCAGTACTAGGTCCTATAAGCTCCACCCCATATTTGAGTCTTAGGGACATACAATCAAGTAGTTAGCTCCATGCATCACCAAACCACTGCAGGTCATTGACAGGAGATAACAAGGCAAATGGTTCAATACCTATCATTTAAGTGTGGTATATTAAAATGTTCAGTGCCAAATGAAGTTATGTAATGTCCCTCACTCTTTTTAAACTTCTAGAATGGGGAATTAGCATTAAATTATTTACACTTGTCCAAAATGTCCTCATCTTTGTTGTTACTATCACAGTTTTGACTGTTGTGCATGTCATCTTTCTCCAGATGTCTGCTAATCTGGATAATCTTCAGATAAATGTTGAGAATGACAAAAAAATGTCACATTATATAAAACAAAACTCCTATCCGACAAGAGAAAAAATATGTGACAAGATAGAAATAGTGAAATGGTTCAATGGTTACAGAAATGAACAAGAGAAGTGGGGACAGAGGGTGTGACAGGCCCAGGCATCCATATTGAGAGGGCATTCAATCAAAAAATGAAATAAAAAATTTAGTTTATATTTGATTTGAATAAAGTGTTTATTTCATGTTTCATCTGTTTTGACATATTTAAAATGTCTTCCTTTCTCAATACTAGGCCCTATAAGCCCCAAGCCCTACTTGAGTCTTAGGGGCATACATTCAAGGAGTTGGCCTTAGGTATCACCAAACTTCTGCACACTATTGTCTTAAGTATCTCGTGGTGGTGATGGTGGGTGGGGGGTACCTCAATTGAACTGAAAATTGAGACTTTTATTTAAACTCACGCAGTGGAGGGATGATTATTCAGTGAGACAAACTTGCTAACAATTACTCCATTTGCAGGTGGAAGGTATATAGCTGAAGTCAAACACCTCACCCTGTGACAATAGCGAGCTCCAGTGGTAACAGGACAAGATCTCAGTCTCATAAATGTCTTGTATCTAAAAAGAAATAAATTTATCTTTCATCGTAATTATTCAGATGAACTCTTTGCTATGGTACCAAGATTTTATGAATTTAAGCACATTACTAAATTGGCAGTAAGGTCTCGTCAATTCACATTTGAATTGGCTATATGTAATCATAAGTTCTATGCTAACGGTTTATTTTTTTTTGCATTTGAAAAACTCTTTTCCAGTTTCATGCTTTCTAACCAACTTTGATCTTCGAAAATTTAAATGCAATGTCGGTTGTTATCTACTGTCTTCTTGATTACTCTTCTATTGTTCTCCCTGATTCATAATGTTTTCTGTTTTCTAATTCTTTCACACTCAGCAACCCCTTGTTTCTTCATGGCCTTACTGCCATGCTTGGGGTAAATTCAATTAAAATATATATATATATATATATATATATATATATATGAATGTTAAATTACTTTCAGAAAATTATTTTTTGTCATTTCTTTTTGAATAATTTAGGTCATCAATTATCCAGGCTTTAGGTAATCGATTATCTGGAATTTTGAATTATCTGAACATATTTTTTCATCTCAGTCCCAATGTGTCCAGATAATCAAGGAAGTACTGTAATATTTAAAAAAAAAAAGGTAGATGGGTTACCTGAATTCTAAAATAAATGATTCTTGATTAATCTTTATTTTATTATTGCTTTTTATCACAGATCACTTGGTTGCAATCTCACAGATCATAAAAATTTGAAGCCTGGATTAGAAATAAAAAATGTAACTTTGGGTCTGTCACTGGATCTTACCAACGCCTTTATCCACTGTGCCATGTGTCCTTGAGGACAAAGTGTGAGTTCAATACCCGGTTAAGGCAGTGGAGAACTTTCAGAGGGAAAATTAGCAGGAGATAACTGATAACTGACATCCATCAAACATGGCACGTGGAACTAGAACAGTCTGCCCCAGTGATCGAAATAAAGGGTTCAGTTCGAAATTCCAACCACCTGAAGAAGGCCGGAGTGTACAACGGCCGAAACATTGTGATAAATATGGCGACAAAGATGAGGACAATGGTCCGACTAATGTAACTAGTGTACATAATACCTCATCTCAGAAATATAGACAGTCATGTTCATAATATAAATACAGTGTCAAATCAATCTGAAACTTTCTAAAGAGTTGTTTTTACTTGACTTTATTTACAAATGTCAAGTTTGAAACTGTGTTTACCTCATTAATAATTGTACTATTAAAAATTAGGGAAAAAGTGGAACATCAGTAGGAAACGCAGTACAGCCAACCATGATAGCCAAATGTTGTAACCATCTGACATTGAATATATATGCCTTTATTTTAAACTTTCAGCTAACCACAAGAGTGCTGACATTTGTCCTGAATGCTTTCATTTTGAGATACATTTCCCATGAATTGCTTGGTGTTGTGAATGTCCGGTAAGTAGCAAATATTTTCAATTTTGACTTTGCTAAATTTATGCTTCTTTTTAGTCTTTACCAACATCCAGTTGTCTTCTGATTGTGAGCTTTTGAGGAGTGTGGAATCACCTCTGAATTGCTGTTGTTCCCAGGGTAGTAGTACCTGTTAGGGCCCCAACTATGGGCAAATAGTGAATCCCCAAACGGCAATCAAAATATGAAAATATAAAAATATATTAGAAAAAATTACTAGAGAATGTTTATCAGGTGAACAGATTTAGCAAATATAATAATTCAAAATGTTGATTTAATACGTTTATATGCCCAGTGAATGCCATGTACGAAGAATGTAGAATAGTTATAATTCTCTACCAGTAAACTGTTGCGTTTTGTGACTTAAATGAACACTCGTTGCTACTTTTGTAATGCCAATGAATACTCATTGTTACTTTCATAATGCTCGTTGTTGTAGAGTCTTTGTAATCACAGCTACAACTATAGTAACACCGTTGAACAATACTGGTGTCAGACGCCTTCGAATAATACTAATAGTGCTTGCTCAGTAATAATTGCTTGAATAGTAATCTGTATAGTAATCTGAATAGATGCATGGGGTGAAATGATTAAAAAATGTATGCTTTTTTCATTGTTAGACTATAAAGGACTATTGAGGTACAGACTACACACATTTTATATATACATTAATAGGTTGTCTATTAAAATAGATCTGTGAACCATGCATTGTGATGTAGGAGTGGGTAGAAAAGTAACAGGAGGGAACCCTTGCTCGCCACAGAAAAGAACTGATCTGTTAGTCTGTCATCTATCTATATATAAGATTCTGTAACTTCCCTTAACCCATTCGTCCATTCATCTCTCACACCCATCTAAAATAATCATACATTGAGTGATAAAAAACAAATTTTGATAAGGAGTGCAAACATGTAAGGAAGTACAAAGTACAGTTGGTTTTACTAGAGTACAATAAATTTTCATTAATTATTTTGAAAAATTAAGTTTTATTATTTAACATACAAAAAACTCCAACAATTTTAAAAAAACAATTTAATGATTAAAATAACAAATACTTATTAAATAGAAATTCAATATTGTTTTTTGCATATCTTTAAGTTTTATATACAGGAATCCAGTTTCCAGTTCACCTTGCATTTGCAAGAAATATAAATAAATCACAAGGCCAAATACTTCAAAAAGTTGGAATTTGATTCCAGAAAGAAATATTTATACATGACCAGTTGCATGCTCAAGCGTAAGAAATCTTAAAAATTTATTCTTCACTGTTAAAAAGAAAAAAAGAAATTTTCTTAAAAAATATTCTTTACTATGAAGTGTGGGGATAAAATAAAAATACAAAATTAAATAAAAGTACAAAATAAAATAAACATTAAAATCTCCCAGGAGTCCTCTGACAGGAAAGACAATTTACGCATGTGCAAAAAAGAGATTTCTTGGCGCCAAAGATAAACTAGAAGAATCTGTCTCTTTCTCTGTTGGACCTTTGACTGGTGAACATGTGCCAACTGTTCGGGAAGGAAATTCTCCAGCAAGAGGTCATTGAAATCCAAAAGGAGGAAATAAAATCAGTGTCCTAAACTGTCCCTAGTGTCTCCGTATCCTTCCGTCTTTTCTTTGTCTATTTATTTCAGCGACGGAGGCAATTCAACAAGTTTTGGATGTTTAGGTGAAAGAATCAACCCAGCACTAATAACCATGACATCCATAGAAGTCCTATCAAAATTAAATTAAATAAATTATTAAGCTGTTTAGTAGGGTTTTTGTCAAAGTATTTTTCCAAACAAATCAGCTTATTCAAATTTCATCGATTGGTTTGCTAAACTGAACGAAACGTAGAGTTTGTAAATCTCGACAAAAAATGTTAGTGATAACTTCAACTATACTAAATACTAAGAGGATTTCAACACATGTCAGCATGCTGAAAAAAATTTCTAGTATCAGAAATAGCAGCAATTATCCGAAGTGTTACCTTCCTAACACAAAGACGGTGCAAGTGATTTCCTGAATAAACAGCTGAACATAGAGGATACTGGATTTGTGTTTTCCATCTCTTGCTGTAGATTTCTTTTCATCTTTCATTTTCCTTGTGAATCTACAACAGTTCAGCATTTCCCTGTTTTTGTGTTTGCCAATACAAATGAGAATTGAAATACATAGATTGATTTGTCTGGGTGATGAAAGCCTGAGAGGCTGTTGGGGTGCACCCACCTTCTAACTAGTAATGGACTGGTCCCTCTTATATAAGTCAGCTCTGGAGAAAGAGTGACGAGAGCGTCAGAGAGAGAGTCAGCGTTAGCAGTCCAGATAAGCTTACCCGGTACATACCGTTGGACTATAGACTTTGGATAATGTTTCGTACTAACCAACCTTCATTCTACTAATCACTCTATTGTTAATTGCTTTTATGAATATACCAGTATTTTCCTCTACAACTGTGTTTGTCTTGATTCATACACCGACACGCGGGAAACTCACAACATCTCAGAGGCCCACCCACTCCTGGCATTATGTTTACATTATAAACAATTTGTAAACATACATTTCCTGGCCATATTCCATCCAAACTTAGATCAAATTGCAAACTGAAACCTGACCTTGTCATAACAATTTCATCAAAAGACATATTGTTTATACTTTTTTTGAATAAATTTTATAGTTAGAAAAAAAAAAAACAAATTTTCTTTCTTACCAGTTACAACATTAGTCACCACTACAATATTACCAACTTCGCTTAACAATTTTTTTTTAACCATTTCACCTAAAGCAAGGCAATAAAGCCACTAAGATGCACGGGCTTACTGAGTGTAAGAGAATATGAGAGAAAAAACATTATTAAAGAGAGGAAACAATAAAAGAAGAGGAATTAAGGAGCCAGAATATAACAATTGGCATTGCATTTAAATTTTTCAAGATCAAAGTTGGCTGGAAAGCATAATGCCAGAAGAGAATTCCACAGGCAAGAAGTGTGAGGGAAGAAACTTAGCATAGAACTTACAGATAAAGAATAAACATTTCCAAGAGAGTCAAAAGTGTATACAGTAATAGCGGCGTCAAGGAAATAACCAGCCTTTTGACACCTTTTTTTTTTTTTTTTTTTTTTTTGTGGACACAAAGTTTAAACATTGCTAAAAATTTCTTTTATTTCTACTTAATGGGCCAAAGAAACTGTATAAAATCTTTCTGTTTTTTTTTTTTTTAATTGCAATACCAGTTATGTGCCATGCATGATATACACTTAGGCAATCATGTATCTTTCAATACATGACTGACAAGGAAGATTTTTTTTTCTGCAGTAGGTTGCCATTTTTTTCTGTGATAGCCCAGTTGCCATCCAAGTCTATAGAACCTGGTCTGTCCTGCTATTTACCCATAGCTGGGGGGAGCAAAAAGGTTTCATACCTTTCCCAAGGGTATTAGCACGTAAGTGAATGAAATGGATTCAACTGGAATTCAAACTCAGCTCTCTGATTTTCTTGGTCCGAGGTGCTATTCTTTACTCCACTGTGCCTCATAAATTCCAGAAATCTGTAAGCAACCTCCTACAATCCAGAAATCTGTGAGCAATCTCCTACAATCCAGAATATGTTTTGGCCTTATTAAACCCTCAAAAGAAGCAATAAGCCATAAAAAAACAAATCAAATTAACTTCTCGTCTTAGTATTGAACTTGTAATTAAACTGTCACCAAATTCTTGAACCAACACTTTAAATCCAATAGACTAGTTTGATAACATAGCAATTGGAGAGTATTTAGGTATGTGCAATGTAGACCCTCAGGTTTCCATCAATGCTATACAAAAACTGAGTTTTGAAAAAAAAATATTGAAAATAGCTGGATACTTTCCGGACATATCTTGTGGATTGGAGGAAGAATAATTATAGACCTGCAGAAAAACCATTTAAAAATTCTTTGACTTTAAACTCTTTTTTTTTTTTTTCAGGCTGACTCTCCTCTACAGTACAAGCATTTTCATCACAAGGGAAGCATTTAACCGTGCTTGCCTGAGTCATGTGGGGAAGGCCTCTTGGACACAAATTATCAACTTGCTATGGCTCACGTATGTACTTTCTTTCTCTCTCTTTGATATTTATACATGGTCTGTGTTAGAAAATGATCTTTTTATTTAATATTAATGAAAAAGTATCCTACCCAGTGCAGTGGAGCTTTAGTCTACTTCAATGTACTCCACTTGGGGCTTCACACACTTAATCCAACAACTTGCCCGTTTTTCAAAACAGCCTACAAAATCCTCTTTTGGAATCACCATCAAGTGCTTTATCATGTTTTCCTTAATCTCGGAAACAATTTAAAATTTTTTTCTGCAATGTATAGAAGCCGCAGAAAGAGAAAGCTGAAATCTATTTCAACCTGTTCATCTACCTTGACCCACCCGCGTCTGCCTACTTATATATCTCGTGAAATCAGCAAGCCAAGTTCAAATTCCAGTTGAGTTTGTTACATTTAATTATGCGCAAATACCCTTGGGTAAGGTATGAATACATTTCTTCTTCCCCCAGTTATGAGTTAAATAACAGGACAGACTGGGTCCTATAGCCTTGGTTGGAAACCACTCTAGGGAAAGGTCAACTCTGAATTCAAAACCTGAAGGGGTGGGTTGTGTGGTTGGTTCTGCACAAGCCTTCACCACTATAATCAAATCATATGTGCAGATAGGCTATTCAGTTCTAAGAACTGAGTTACCATATTGTCATACGTTGAAACCAATGGGAGAGCCCAGTATATATATTATGCATGTAACATTTTTTAAAGGTCATACAGATATTACACTGGTCCTAGGCATAAGTGCCAGTAAATAATCCTTTTGTCATCGGCTGGACACACATATTCTAATCCTAAGCAGAATTGCCTGATCTTTATATAATCTTGTCATTTTAATGTGTAATATACCAACATATTTAAAGATTAATACATGAAAACCTAATAATAGTAATGTAGCAGACATTCATTCATAGAAAATCCTATCAGTACCAGCGATACCTTTTCCAGCTTTTGGGTATTTTTTAAATTATTTTTTTTAATAGAGTTCACCAAGGCAGTAAAGCCACTAAGACACAAGGGGTTACTGGGTGTTAAAGAATTAGAAAACAGAAACATTATTAAGGAGCAAGAACAAAAGAAGAGTAATCAGGTCAGTAGAAAGTGATTGACATTACATTTTAATTTTTTGAAGATCAAAGTTGATTGGAAAGCATAGAGCTGGAAGAGAGTTCCACAAGTAAGAAAAGAAACAGCATAGTATGTATGGTTACATCTAGTAGCCAACTCAACTGTAAATTGGTGAGACCTTGTCACCAGTCTGTTACTGCATTTAAATTCATAAAGTCTAGTTACCTTAGTGAAGAGCTCATCTGAACAGTTTGCATGAAAGTATTTATAGAAAAGGCACAGGAAGGTGGGAAAGTAACTGAATCAGGACCAATAATATTGCTGATTCTTCTTTGAATTTTATCAATGACCTCTAGCTATATAACAGGAGTACTGGCAATATTTGAAGCATGGACAAATGGTAGACTTATAGATATGTAAGATATGTTCTGGAGTGAAAGATTGTCTAACATGACAGAAAAAAAAACTGGGAGCATTCACATTGTGAATCTGAAAAGGCTAGCACTCTTTCACACCCTACTAAGGTCAAGGTAGGATGCTGAACTTTGTATTGACAGGGCGAAAATGTCATGCAAATATTCCCATAGAACCTGCATAAACGGGTCCAGGCCTGTCTACCTCCCCGGACAAAACTTTGCCCTTCAGCAAAGCCTTGTCCGGGTTCCTCTCTGCTCAAGGCAGAGAGTTCGACATTTGAACAGGCTAAGGCATTGCTCCCAATATAACTTGTTAAATCATAATTAGCACCATGTCTCCAGAACAGACATTCCTGGCTTAGACAAGACAACTCCCTCACTCTTTAACTCACCAGCTGAACCATTCCTTGAACTTCCATTTTCTTTCAGCAATGATTCTTGAAGTTTCTTCATATAAAAAAGTTCCCAATAGAAAAAAAATTTATCTCACTTTATTCCACTGTTTGTCTATTTTCATGAACTCTTGTGCTTTTTTTGTTTTTTGTCAACCCAACATCTCGACTTTAAATGACAACCCTTAAAGCTAATGCAACAGTAACAACATTACAAAATATGCAAGTGTGTGTGTCTGTGTGTGTGTTTATTAGAATTAATGTTAACTTCTACTGAACACAAAATGGGGGAATCATTGCTCTACTGTTAAGTGATAAACTGATTCCTCCAGAATTTTTACATATTAAGATGAAAGTAAAAACTTGCAGATGAAAATCCTCTAATAATAGTTTGGACTAAAAATATGTCATCATTTTTGCATCATAGGTCAGCTAGTATTTATATAACTTGTTAATATTTAACAGCCACCTCACGAGGGATGTATGTGGCACAAGGCCGAGTTTACCGTGGGTTTTCTGAGCCCATAGGCTCGGCAAAAAATATTCCCATAGAACCCGCATAAACGGGTCCAGGCCTGTCTACCTCCCCGGACAAAACTTTGCCCTTCAGCAAGGCCTCGTCTGGGTTCCTCTCTGCTCAAGGCAGAGAGTTCGACATTTGAACAGGCTAAGGCACTGTTCCCAATATAACTTGTTAAATCATAATTATCAATGTGTAGTTATTTATGCTAGAAATGCCTGTTAAAATTTCCTGGTTTCTGTATTGCAATTTTCTGATGGATCTTAATTCATAAGTCAATGATTGAATAAGCCCAGAGCAAGTTCTACGAGAATAAAATATCCATAGAAATACAGATGTCTCTGTTTTTCCACACGATCAAAACGGAATAAGGTATTGGCAGTGTGGGATGGGGTGTCTAAACACCTCTATCTTCCTCTCTTTCTTTCTTACAAAAACCAACCAGTGTTTCTGATATGTCATTTCTGTCTTTTCATTCAGTCAAAAGGGAATAGTCCTATTATTTATGAGGTATTGACAGGGTGAAAATGTCATGCAAACTAAGGAAATAACAAGCAAAATTATATATTTCCTGTGTATTTATTTTTATATTTCTTGTCCCTTCTACAGTGGGAAGGGAGGTAAATCAACTTAATTTAGTAATTTATTTAATTATTTTAATAATCTATACAAATGAAATATTTATCTGCATTTAGACAAAATTAGTTCCCAAGAAAATGAACCATTTAAATAATCAGTTCCTTACATTTCTTAGATTGCAGCGTTATTTGTTCAAGCCTTTCATGTGAGGCACTCAGACACGTTTGTTTATTAAGTGATTATAACTTGACCTTGAAATAGACTTTGCTGTCAGTCTTTGTTGTTCTATTGCTAATCTTTTTCTTCTGAAAGATATTTCCATTTCACTGTTACATTAAACACACAAAATTTTTAATATGAAAAGATATTGAACAAAAAGCAATTTATATAATACCAGGAATAATCAATGGATCATAGATACCATTGAAGATCTAAAAATATAAAGTACATGGATTAATTAAACAGTTCATTGGTCTTTATATTAGTTGTGAATTCTTTATTTCTGCTTTATTGAATCTCAATACATTATTTCAAGATTTTGTTTCATTGCATATCACTATTAAAACTTTCTAACATTTTTTGATGGCACAGGTACACTAGATATAATAATTTGCTAAAATTTACAAGATATTATTGAATCTCATAACATTGTTTCAAGACTTTTGTTTCATTGCATGTTACTATTAAAACTTTCTAACAATTAGTCATTTTTGATGACACTAGTACACTAGTTTCAATATAAGATTCTACTTGATGTATTGTGGGAGATCAGTTTCCTATTGTTATTAAGTATTACACTGATTCTGCACTTGGAATTACTTTGTATTAATATACAGGTTGAGAGTCCTTTATCCATAATTCTTAGGACCGGAAGTGTTTCAGTTTTCAAATTTTGGAATACAGGCTATTTAATTTGTATATAGTATCTATAAAATGGGTCAGCTTGGGAATAGAATCCAAGCATGCACACGATATCCCTTTAGATTTCATAACACAGCTTATACATATACCCTGAAAGTAGTTTTATATAAAATTTAATAAATTTTCTGTACATGCAGATACAGGTAATGACACTATTCATGTTATGATTTTTAAGTGGTGAAATTAAGATTTCACATAAAAATAACGTTTTGTGCTTTCTGTATGTATACAAAGAAACATGGTCACTACTTACAAAAAAATATATAAATGCAGGACTTTTTGACATTTTGAATAATATCTTTACTGAGCATGAAACACCTAGTAAGTAATCCATGAAGAAGGTGTTGCTGCGATGATTGCTCATAAAAAACTGGTGCCAACATAGGCTACATAACTGGGATGGAGAAACCCTGCCCATGACAGATGAGGTCACTTACAACAGCTGCACATCCCTGGGGAACCTTCCCAGTGCTTTTTGAAATTTTTCATTTGTGGCAAGTCATGTCAGTACCTGAAAATCTTTTGGATTTTGGAATTTGGGATAAAGGATACTCAACCTGTAATAATTAGAATATATTTAAAGACTCAGAAAACCTAATAATACAGGGTGCCCAGTAAAAAAGCAGTAAATTTATTCTTTGAGAAAATACACCAGTTCTAATTGGTCCATCTCAGTGGCTCTCTAAAAGCCCAGGTCTGTATGTTATGGATGACTGTATATGGTGTATGCTCTTAACTCACTTGCTAAACTGTCATCATGACATTGTCGATATTGATTTATTGAAGTGGAACTTAACTGAAGCTTGAAATTAAATTCCTCTTGACACTATCCGCAAAGCTATTGTGCATGAATCATGATAGCTAAATAATTTTCTTTCTGAATTTACCGCTTTTTTATTGGGCACCCTGTAGTAAAAATATAACAAAATATGGAAGCATAGATCCATTGTGCTTTTATATAGATACATAATACAAATATCTAATTTTGATTTGTTTTCAGGGTTCCTTTTTCCGTAGTTGTTTGCTGCATCCTAAGTTTTGTATGGGTCAGTCTGCTCCAGCGTCCTGACCCCTCCATTATCCCATACTATGATTTTGGTGCAACCTGTTTTGCCCTCTCTACTGTGATTGAAGTCCTGGCCCAACCCTTGTGGGTCATAGGTCAAGCCTTCATGTTTGTGAAACTAAGGGTTAGTCTTATTTCTTTAACAACATAAACTGCAGTGTTATTTATTCAGATAATTCTCTTTTATTGAAGGTATTTTTTTTTAATCTTTTAATTATTGATATTGAAATGAATTATTACTTAATATAAAGTACATTTGGGATTTCCCAAATATGTGTTAAATAGTGTAGCAAAAAGAAGAGAGAAAAACAAAAAAGTAACGAGAGTGTTGCCAGCAAACCAGCTGTTATTCTTGCTGTCGGTCGCCTCAAAGAAATGAATTACGAGACTCCTTTTCTCAGCCGTTACACCGGGCAGTTGTGAAATGGACACCCAAATCAAACGTGCCTACTTCAACCGCCTCTTGGTCTGCCGAATGACTCGCCGTTCCGCTGGCACCTCGCCTTTTTTATGTTAGTCCGACACTGCTGAAATTTGCATGTGTACTGGTACAATCTCGTTTTGGACGAGACCGGCGCGTATAAATTGCGTCTTCGACAGTAGCCATATTTTCTTTGGGATTTATCATGCAAGCAAGACACGTTCGCACATGTTTCGAGCTCCGAGGTAAGTCATGACAAATAGTAGGGCAGACTGATCACTCCAGCTGTGGTGGGCAACCGGCCGAAGAGAAGGAAAAACTCTGAATTCAAAATGATTTGTAGCTCTGACCAAGCAAAGATGAAAAAGCCATCAAAAGAATCCTGAATTTTACAGTAACTTTATTATCTCAACTGTGGTCGATTGGATGAATGAATTGATGGATGCTTGGGATTTGCTGTAGATGAGCTTACTCTTATGTCTGGAATAAAAGGGGAAGAGGAAATAAATGGGGTGGTTGGAAAATTCAATTTTTTTTTCTTTTTCTGAACAAGAAATAAATGTGTAATAAAAAGATATGTTGAAAAAAAATTTAAAATAAACAAGGGGTCTGCAGTAGGTAGGTAGTTTGGAAAAAAAAATTAAAATATTTAAATAGCTGGCCAAGCATGTCTATTCTGAACACCAGAAATTATTTATACAGAAATATATTGAAATATAAGAAGGAGATACCAAACTCAAGCAAATACAAAAATTTAAATAAGTGTTTTAACAGAGGACAGAGAGTATGACATTGAAATTCAGAAGGCGCATTGGGATAGCCAAAGATGCCTTCTAAATGCAAAGCAAAATATTAAGAAACAAGAAAATTACATTACAAACAAAGAAAACTGTGCTGAGCTGTTACGTAATATCAGTCCTCCTATATGGCAGTGAATGGACAATCTCCTCACTGATGAAATAGAGACTTGAAATAACAGAAATATTGTTCTACAGAAAGATGCTGAGAATACCATGGACCGAACATGTGAGCAACAACAAAGTTTTAGAAAAAATGGAAACAAGAGGGAAACTTATACTTAACATCAAGTAGAGACAGTTGAAATTTCTTGGGCACATAATGAGAAAAGAGGACTTGGAAAATCTGATACTCACAGGACAGATTGAAGGCAAGAGGGACAAAGGAAAACAACGCATAACCTACTTAGTGAGCTTCAGTAAATGGATGACAGAACAATGTTTAGGAGAGATAGCAAAATGGCAAAATTTATTAAGAGCTGCAAATGACAGAAAATAGTGGGGAGCCATGATTGCCAACATCCTGAAGGGACCTGGCACATAGAAGAAAATGAAATAGTTATATATTAACAGTGGCACTTTGTTGGCCAGAGACAAAATAGACTTAAACATAGGATAAATAAAAATTATTTGCAATATATATATATATATATATATATATATATATATACACACACACACATAGATTTTACTGGAAAATATATTTAAAATATACATACAAAACAAAACAAAGAATGTGTAACTTTTTTTTAAGTGGATTTCAGGGGACAAAACATTAGCGCTTCTTTCATTAGATACTAACATGAAAAGGTTATTTGTAGTTTCAGCCATAGTTCGGTTGGGACCAGGAGTCTTGAAACATTATCCTTGTTTTTTGTTGATTGTCAAGGCAAATTTAAACCTCACTGGGGATTGAAGTTGCTTAAATTCAAAGAGCAAGCAAGTCTGTTGAACTATTTTTTTTTTTTTTTTTTTTCAGTTCATCTCAAGAAAGATGATAATGCCACTAAGGGGCTATTGGAGTGAAAGAGATTGAAAATATAGAAGGAACTGGAAACCTAATTCTAAAAAAAAAACAAAAAACAAGGGATAAACCTCTACTCCTGTTCAAAAGACTGGGGAGGAGTGTGAACTGGACAATAGGGGAACCTATTTACTCCTATTAATCTTTCTTATGGAGATCCTGGAAATGAACACATGAAATTTCTTTATTTGGATAGAAATAATATGCTCTGGTGACCTTATTGAAATTGTTTTTATTCTGTCACTTTTACTGCCGAATCCAGGGATGGAACTCACTTAACCCAAATTTTTATTTGGTAAACTAGTGATCTTCAAACCTTCTCCCATGCCCAAAGGCCATGTCCGACCAATTCCAAATTCTAATACAAATCCAGGGTCTTCTCACTCTTCTTGGGGGAACCTCTCCCTGATTGACAATGTTTTCAAGGGTGGACCATGGTCTTCTCATTCATGTTGTATGAACCCCTCCCTGATTGACCATGTCTTCAGGGGTGGACCAGAGTTTTGTCACTCTTGTTGGAGGAACCTCTCCCTGATTGATCATGTCTTCAAGGATGTAGCCATACTCACCACACTTAGCCAATTGTGGGTTGGTGAGGCTATTTAACATAGTTAGGCTGGATGGCCATTGACTTTGATAAGTTTATCCCTGCTCTTAACAGCCAGTTTAATTGATGACCACTCAGGTTTTGAATTCAGAGTTGTCCTTCTCCTAGACTGATTGCTACTCAAGGCTGTAGGACCCAAACTGAATTGCTATTTATCCATAGCTGAGGGGGTGGAGAGAAGAGATGAATTCATACCTTTATCAAGGGTATTTGCTCATAAATGAATGTAGCAAACTTGACTGTAAATCGAGTATGGCTCTCCGATTTCACAATCCAAGTCATTATCCATTACTCTAACCTGATCCATTACAAGATTTCATTCAGGCCTGAAGATTGTGTCTAAACATGAAACAGACTTTCACCAGTCAGTGTTGCTCTCAATACCCACTTTTATATTTATCTTTATTTGTGTGTGTGTGTGTGTGTGTATATATATATATATATATATATATATCTATAAATCTTCTCACATAGTGTACAGATACTATATTCTGATAGTATATGTGGATTATTACAGTAACAATACAATTTCTCACACATTCTAAGTAGATAAATTCCTTTTCCTTTTAAGCCCACTTAATTATCTGAGTTTTTTAGGAATTTCATCTTGAGTCTATGTTTGAGTCAACTTAATTGCCAGAGTTTTCAGGATTCTTGTGTCCAGCCTGCCCTTGGATAGGCAAACATAAAATTTTGTCAACAATTTTAGATAATCATAAAAGTAGAGTCCTTTAAAGAAACTGACCACCCATCCAGCTTTTTGGGTGATCTACTTTTCAGGAACATAAGTGGAAAGATAGTGGGGTGAGTTCCCAGCCAGTATTCATATAGACTGAGAGAGACAGGAAGTCAGGGATTAAGTAGGTGAGCAGAGAGAAACCAGCAGTTGTCTGGACAGTCAGTGAATGTAAAGGTCCTCTTTCTGTGGCTGGAAGTTAGTCCACTTCTCAAAGCTGAAGGAAGAATAGACAGCTAAGTGAGAAATTGTATTATTGCTATTTCCCAGTCAGTGTCTTCAAAAGCATTTGTCATTATTCTTTACGAAATTCAATCACAGCCAAGGAGACAAACTTGCAAACATAGCTAGTCAGGTGTATATGCAGATACAGCCAACCTTGGATGTCATCATAGTAGTGCAGTGAATGACATGTGGACTACATTGTCACATTACATTATGCATGCAAAACTATCATTCTACTATTACATATATGTATAATGTGTATCTTTCTACTATTATAACCATTATGTAGTATCAGTCCTCTTATATGGCAGTGAATGCTGGACAATCTCTTCATAGATGAAGAAGAGACTTGAAGCAACAGAAGTGATTTTATAAAAGGATGCTGAGAATATGGATTGAATAAGTGAGCAATGACGCAGTTCTAGAAACAATGGCAATAAAAAGGACACTTATACTTAACATTAGGAAGAAACAGTTGAAATTTCTAGGACAGCTAATGAGGAAAGAGGGCTTGGAAAATTTGATTCTTTACAGACCAGGTAAGAGGGCCAGAGTAAGATAATGCACAACCTACCTGGTGAGCTTGACTGGATAGCAGAGGAGTGTTTGGGAGAGATGGCAAAAAGACAAAAGTTATGAAGAGCTACAAAGGACAGGAAATTGTGGAGAGTCATAATTGCAAACATCCTGATGGGACACGGCATACAGAAGATGATAATGTGAATTTATTGTTAATAATTTTATTTTAAAATTGCATTGAAACTCAAAAAGAAAAGAATTATCAATGATTATGAATTAATACAAATGTCATTGATAAAATAAACCTATTATATCTATATAATAAATACAAATGTCACTGTGTCACTATGCTACACTTTTTCAAATTTACTCTTAGAGGCCATAGCCCAACATATCATACCATTTTTGAATCTGGCCAATTCCGTGAGCAAATTAAAAACATTCCAGGCTGGATCTGGACCTGCAATCTTGAAATTATGGATTCCCAAGTTTTCATTACTGTGATTGTTTTTGGTGATTTTTTTTTTTTTTTATGTGATTTTTTGCAACAATTTTTTTTCTATGATGACAATTTCTATAACTTGGAAATAGATTTGGGAATAATCAAAATTAATTGCAAAATCCAGTGAAAGTCGCCTATAAAATAAAAATAATTGTTTGTACGGAAAGTAAGGACCTATGTACATCAAATTGTTTTTAAATTAAGTGGTGGCAGAAGAATTATCATTGAAAAGGTAAGCTTAAATATTAATGCAATACTTAAATGCAGCAATCAATTTTAAGTTCTTCTGAAGTTTATTGTTGCCCATTACATCTACTCCTCCCTAGCTATTGTGATGAAGGTCCAATTAAGACCCTCCACAGTAGCTATCTCAAATGCCACATTGATAGGGTGATTTTTTTATGCTAGTGTCTAATATGGCTGTATCTTTTATTTGTTCTTTTCAGGTCTTGATGGATTCTTTTTTTTTGGCTGTGAAGTCTGTCATTACAGTTTTTCTTATTCTCCACAAACCACAGCTTGGTCTTGTCATATTTTCATTGGCTCAGGTAACACACATTTTTTACTTTATTTCTATTGTACAATGTTATGTAAGAATTGTGTACAAACACCCACTGCACAATGCTACAGTGCATAGTTTTCTCTTACTAATAACACATTGAAACAAGAAAACCTTTTTTTCTGGGCATTGAAGTTAACTAATGATTTTGCTCCATGACTTTTTTTTTTTTTTTTTTGTAATCATTTGACTGTTATATTCCATGCTAATAGGAATATATACTTGAAAAACAAGGTGGATAAAATAAGTTAAGGTTTATTGTACAAAACCTGTACAATAAGAATAAAGGTAACAGTTATGCACAAGGTCGTCACAAGTCAATCCAGTAGTGAGTGCTACTATTGGAATGTCAATAGTTCTTGCGTAAGTCTGAGTCATACTCAGCAGATCCCAGCTAGTCTCTGTAGTCCGTTGACTTACAGATACTTATAGGTAGTTACTACCTATAGTGTAATCACTCATGGGGGTGACAGGTTATTTCATTACAGACTACAAGCAAGGTAATAAAGCCAGTAAGTCACAAGGTGTTACTGAGTGTGAAAGAAAACATTATTAAGGAGAGAGAACTATAAAAGTATAGGAATTAAGAAGACAGAAGATAACGATTGACATTGCATTTAAATTTTTGAATATCAAAGTTGACTGAGAAGCAAGAAACCAAAAGCATTTCACAAGTGAGAAGTGTGATAGAAGAAATTTTTAGCATAGAACTAATTTAGCCATTTCCACTGTAAAATGATGAGACCTATTTACCAATCTAGTACTACACTTAAATGAATAAAGTTTAGGAACAATTATCAAGAAAGTATTCTACATATAACATTCTGAGGCTTCCATTCATCTGTCCATCTGTCACACACTCTAAAATAGCAATACATTGACCAATTGAAACCAAATTTGGGAGAGAAGTGCAAACAGGTAAGGAGTACAAAGTACAGTTGTTTTTACTAGGGTGCATAGCTTAGTACAATAAATTTTCATTAATTTTTGTGAAAAATTAAAATTTTGATTATTTAACTTATAAAATACTCCCACTGTTTAAAGAAAAAATTAAAAATAGCAAATACTTATTTAATAAAAATGCAGTATCATTTTTTGCATATTTTTAAGTTTTTATGTACAAGAATCCAGTTTCCAGTTCATTCTGTGTTTGCGGGAACTATCACAAGGCCAAATGTTTCAGAAAGTTGGAATTTGGTTCCAGAAAGAAATACTTATACATGGCCAGTTGTATGTTGCATGCTCAAGAGTAAGAAATCCTAAGAATTTATTCTTCACTGTTAAAAGAAAAAATTTTCTTATAAAATATTTTTTACTATGAAGTCCTATAAAATTAAATTAAATTAAAGAAATTATTAAACATGCATCAGTGTGTTGCAAAAAAAATTCTAGTTATAGAAAAGGCACAGGGAAGTTATGTTACAGCAGTGGGAACATAACTGAAGTCAAGATGCCAGATCAGGACTAATAGTATTCTTTGTATTTTATCAAGAATCTCTAAATACATATCAGTATTCCCTGTTTCAAATGCAGTATAGCAACTGTTACTTCACTCATTACACATGGTTGGTTTCTACATGGCAACATTTTTTTGTTTCATTCACTCCTGCCACTAGCCCAGCTATGTTATGTTTTTATCCTTTCGATCAGGCTTGAGACTTTGGCATGAACATTGTTTCAGATAATATCAAAAAATTTCTTTGTGTCAATTTTTTTGATTGGCCAAAATTATTTTATTTTCTGGTGTTTCATTTGTTTTAGGCATGGACCCTTCCTGATTTTTTTATATTTTTCACTCACAAATAAGTAGGCTTTGCTCCTGAAAACTTTCAGTGTTTTGACTGGGTTCAGTCTTTTCTTATTTTCCTCTTTTTATTTGAGGCTTGCCTTCTCTTAGGTTCAGAGAAGAAAGAGAGAAAGAAAGAAAGAAAGAAAGAAATAAGGGTCTTAAAGGAAAGTGCAAATGCCTTATTTTTAATTTGAATTCTTTTTATTTTTGTGTATATTTTATTTTTATCGGGACTCACTACAAAATCATTAAAAGTAAAAAATATCCAAAGAAAGCTACCATGAAACCAAATGAATGTAAATAATTATTTTCTTGGCCAAAGATTTGTACAGTTGATGGGATTCTTGATAAAAGATTAGCATTAAATAAACATAAACTTTGTGTGTCCTTTAAATGCCAAAATACCTCAAATGAAATGCTTTTTTTTTTCTTTGTTACCACCTGATTTTTGTTCATTACAGTTCTATATGTCAAACCAGGTTTTGTATTGGGAGGGAGTTAGTGGTGGCACTCTACCATTTCATACAAAACCATTCTTAAAATTATAGAAGCTTAGCAAACTGGTTGTTGGATTATCTGAGAATAATCTTATATATTAATAGCTGATCATCTAGGTAAAATGTTAGATATGTTATGCTGTGTTCATATGTGCACCTAGTGAAGCTCTAATAGATACCCCCAACCCCCGCCACAACAGTAAACAGCAGTCAGCAGGGTAAGAAAAAAAAGGAAGACATAGATAACAGTAGTTGTGTAGAAAAAAATAGGTGAAAGAGATAGATCTTTGGGATTGCAGCAGTTCAGTTCAAATGTGGCTAAGAAATGATAACACACGGGACAGAATTTCAATCTGGAAATATCTTAATAAATAAATGTTTTCTATTAAATCATCAAAATGGTTTCATTCTTTTTGATACTATAAAGTGATTTGTTTCCATTCTCAGATTGAAAAGAAAATAAACAGAATAGTTTCCTAAAAATTACCTGCCTTTATAGAACCGATTCCTGGAAATTTGGGATGCCATTATTGGGTGGGGGTGCAACAGTAGCGTAGCTAGAGTAAACGTCACCTGGGGCAGTCCGCTCAAATGTCACCCCAATGACCCTGATTCACTCTATTCTGAATGGTTAGCTGTAGCTAAATTTTCATACATGCTCTACTTCTACTTTACTCTATTGACCGGTACGTTACTGTTTACATGTATGATCCAAGACAAAATCCAATATCACAAAATAATCAGTTCAAATCAAAAGATTTTTAAAATGCAACTGTTTACTTTCAGAACAACTAAATACAAAACACGGCAATACACAAAAGAATGACAAAATTGTATCTCAGCAAATTGATACACATGCAAGACTGAAATTGTTGCACTTTTGGCTTCGTATTTCACTTTGTTGTTATTAATGATGCAGAGTTAAAACACCATATCATCCGATAAAATGTTAAAATAATGTCTCTTGTTAGTAACCAAGATTGTAGCAACTGAAACACATGAAAGCTGAAAACATTGCTATTTTTCCTACTCACAAATTTCCCGACAATTTATTAGAAAATTTCTGACGGGGGACAAAACTTGGGGGGGGTCCATAAATTTCTGAGGGGGGTCATATGCCTGTCTGCGAAACCCTGTGTCTCCAGCACTGTTTTCAGACTATTTTTGGCACCTTAGCCTGGTTGAAAAACTTTGTTGGGGGGTGACATTGTATCACCCCTCCTGCGCTGGCGGTCAACACCCCCACCCCCCGCCGCTACGCCACTGCGGTGCAACAAGTTGAACTCCCAAAATTTAAAGGTATTTTATACTTATTAGTCCTGGCTTATAAGTCTTTTTTATTGTTTTTTTTTTTCAGGTCATCTCTATGTGTGGTTATGTAACTGTTTACTATGTTTATTTTACCTTATACATGAAAAGTGCCAGAAAGAAAAACGATGACTTTCCGCTGAAAAGTATTCGAGATTTCTTCCCAAAATTCATCAAAAATAAGGTAGACCCATTTCTGTACTTGATTCCTGATTATCAATAATGTGCCCATATGTATAATGTCATGTTTATTTGTCTTTTTAATATATATATATTAGGGACCTCCACAAAATACACAAAATGAATTTTTAAAAATGAAAAAATCTTTCTTGATTTTAATTTCAAGCTAATAGATTAAATTTAATATTTCCAATAAGCAAAATACTTTGCTGTATTTCAAAATCTATTTTAAATTGACTGGAAGATTTTTTTTTTTCTTTTGTTTTTTTACTAAAATAGTTGATGAGCACACTTTTTTAGCCGCCTTTCATCACAATGTAATTCTCTTTATTAAAAAAATCTTTCAAAAATAAAGTATGCTTTTCTGAAATTTTATTTGAGGAATATTCACTGATTTAAAGTAAACATAATCTGATTTGAAACAGATGTTATTTACTTTAACCCTAGAACACTAACCATCAATTAAAGTTACACCATGGGTATATCATACCTGATTTTGAAAATATCAAAAAAAATATTAAATTTTGTCTTTTTAATATATATATATGTGTGTGTGTGTGTGTGTGTGTGTGTGTGTGTGTGTGATTTTGCTGTAGAATGTTGTGGACTAAATACTACACTCCTGGCTGTGATTTATATTTTAACCCCTGCCTGAATCTTTATTTGAAATATTTTACATGCAGGCACTTCAAACTTTGTACTTTGAGTTAACATTAATAGGAACTGATAACCATTATTTAGGTAAGAAAATCAAAATCAGGTACTGAAAATTGTAATTAAAAATAGGAAAATTTTCACTGGGTATATTATACCCATGGTTAGTGTTCTAGGGTTAAGCTTAAAATATCGCAGAAATGCATTTCTTAACCCAGTAGTTGTTTTAATGTGTTGACAGCATGATGATAGATCTAATGTTGTTCAACGGAGACTTTATATGTAAAATATAATTTAAGATAATGATATGTGCATCATTTTTATATAATTTTTAAATACTCAGTAATTTTTTAAATTTGGGAAAATATTCTCCATAACCTAATGTTTTATTGAATTTTTTGTTGACTTTAAATTTACTGTAGTTATCGCTCTTATTTTCTTGTTTTACATGTCATGTATAGTTGCTTGTAAAAAAAATCGGCATGTTTATACACATACAAAAAAAAATTAAAAATTCTTTAAAAAATATTGGTGTTTGATGATTTGTATTAAACTTTTACATTTAAGATTAGTAAGTATAGTTTTCACTTAATATAATCTAAAAGGCAGAAATTAATACAGAATTTTAAGATTTAAAACTTAATAAATAAATCTAATTCAAATTTTATAAAACAAAAACAATGGAAAAATTCATTATTCATTAAAAAAAAAAATTTCTTAAGACAATAGTGTCCTTAATATAACTTTTAAAAGCTTTTTCTAATTAAATAATGTCAGTTTTATTGCATTTTTATTTTATGATTCAGAGCAGATTTTCAGTAAATGGTGTTTCTGTTTGACAAAAACAAATTGATGATTTAAATTCTCCAAGGAGTCCTGCTTTGAACTAATATAAATATGAAGAGGATGAAATTTTAATTTTTTAAAATAAATAAATAGGCATAACAGATATAAATATATACGGGGGGATATAAAAATCCATTTGCCTTTGGCTGTGATTTATATTTTAACCCCTGCCTGAATGGACAAGTGGAACAGTTTGTGAGAACGTTAAAGAGTTTTGAAGAAAGCAAGTCTTAAGAAATTAAATGAGGAAGCACTTCAAAATTTTATGAGAGTTTTCTTGGTAGCACCTAACTCTAACACTCCATCAGGCATGTCATTGACGGAATTAATGTTTGCCAGAAGAGTAAAATTGGTGTTCAACAAATTATTACCAATGAACGGTTAATAAAAGCTACACCAAAAGTTTCAAGATTGGTGATAAAGTGTTCTTTAAGGCATATAAAGATAACAAAGAAACATAGGAAGACACTATATCGGCAAGAATTGGTAAATTGATTTAAATAATGAAAGGGAAAAAAATTGAACATAAAAGGCACTAATCAGCTGAAAAAAAGATTCAGTGATGAAACAAATGAAATATTGGAAGAACCAATAAATGGTATATGACGTTTTAATGTGCCAGTACCACAAGAAGTTGTGGAACCTACAAGGACAAGTTCAAGAAAAAGAAAGCGTACTGAAGAAATGGATCCAAGACGGAAATGCTACAAAGTCGAGTATGTTGGCAAACTCTCCAGAAAGAGGTGGGGGGAATACTAATACTAATACTAATAAAAAATATTTTATAAAAACATTAATCTCAAAAGGGGGATATTGTGGACTAAATACTACACCCCTGATGGCTATATGAACTAGTCCATTACTATAAAGAGCTCAGGTCAGAGGTAAGACTGGTGGTACCTGTTTGGAGTCAGGCAGTTTGCTACCAGGCTCGCAACTGGTTTGTTGAACTCTCTGACTTCGGGCAGAGAGGAACCTAGACAAGGCCATGCCTACAGGCAGAATCTTGTCTAGGGATGTAGACAAAACCAACCTCATGTATACGGGGATCTAAGGGGAATCTTTGCTTGAGCCTATGAGCTCAGAATCGCCCCATGTAAAAACAGGCCTTGTGCCACATCCTGCCTTGTGGGGAGGTTTGATAAATACTAGCTGGTTGGACTCAGACCAACTATACAGGTGTTATGGCAAGTAGCCAAAGCATTACATATAGAGAATCTTTGTATAAAGTATGTTATATAAGGTAAGAATATGTTATAGTGATACAATAGTAGCATTATAAAATTAAGTGAGGAATGGTTGTATTAGTATTCCAGCCTTGACATTGGTGCTTTTTTTTTTTTTTTCAGACAAGAATTACATCATGACATGTCTTCTAAATATATTTTGCTATTCAGGAATATTTTAAATATATTTACCTATTCTTTCAGAGTTTCATCAACTTTGACTTAGCCCTTTTAACTTGGACTTTCATGAAACAATCTCTTCTCAAACAATTTCTCACAGAAGGTAACTTTTTCCTTAAACTCTTTTTCTTTTTCTATTGACCATTTTGTAGTAACAAGCAATGTAGTAAATTAACCCTTTAGACTGCCCTATGGAGTTGTACAGAAGGAAATGGTGAAGTTCAAAACAATTTTGTGTCATGCTAAGTAAGAAAAATTCTTCACAACTGAATGAAGTCAGTGAGCTCATGTAAATTAGCTTCTGCTAACCAATCGGGGTTCAAGTTTTACCATGTGGAATTGATTACATAGAAAAATATCCTAATCTATTTCTATGCTCCACAATAGAAAACCAATAAAAAAAAAATTAACGGTACCTAAGGTTTAAAATGAATTTTTAAAAATGAAAAAGCTTTCTTGAAGCTTTCATTTTAGTTTTAATTGAAACCTAAAGAATTAAATTTAATATTTCCAGTAAGCAAAATACTTGGGTATATTTCAAAAAGAAACTGATTGGAATTGATTTTCATTTTTTTTTTTTTTTCTAAAATTTTCTTCATTAAAAATCTCCCCAAAATAAAATATACTTTTCTGAAACTTTTTTTTAAGAATATTAGCTGATTTAAAGTATAATTAGTCTAATTTGAAACAAATATTATTTACTTTAAGTTTAAAATAGCACAGAAATACATCTTCCAAACAAAGAGTAGCTGTGTTTTTAACTGACAGTAGCCATGTTTATGTGTTTGACGAGTAGCGAAAAAGTGATGACAGCTTTATTGTTGTTCTACAGAGATTTTATATGTAAAACATAATTTAAGAAAATGACATGAGCACCTTTTTTTATGTAATTTTTAAGTACTTAGTAATCTTTAAAATTTAGGAAAACATTCCTCCATGACCTAATTTTAGGAATGTTGACTTTAAATTTACTATAGTCATCGCTCTTATTTTCTGATAATGTTGTGTATGGTCACCCATACTTTCAAAATGGGCATGTTTATACACATACAAAAAAAATTAAAAATTATTTTAAAAATCTTGGTGTGTGATGATTTGTATTAAGCTTTTCAATTTTTGATCAGTAAATATAATTTTCACTTAATAACAATATCACCTAACTCAATCAAAGTAATGCAGAATTTTAAGATTTGAAACTTTATAAATTATAATTTAAAAAAAAAAGATTCTTGTAAAATATTTTTTCTTAAGACAATAATGTCCTTAATAAATCTTAATGGTAAAATCAATCAAAAGCTTTTCTAATTAAATAATGTCATAGTTGTATTACATTTTTTTATTTTATGATTTGGAGCAGATTTCCAAGAAATTAGTAATTGTTTGAAAAAAAAACATTGATTTACATTCTCCAAGGAGTCCTGCTTTTAAATAATAAAATAAATTTTGCAATTAAATTTCTCAAAATTACCAAGATTTTCTTTAAAAAAAAAAAAAAATTTAAATAATTTCATTTATTTGTGAATAAGTCCTGAAAGTTTCATTAAAATCCAACAATTATTTGATTTTTGCAAGAATTTCCAAATTAATGTGTTTTTTGGTTTTTTTTGGTTTTTTTTACAAGAAAAAAAGACACTAAAAAACCCATAGTAATCATTGGTCTACTGTTGATGCAAGCAAAAACAAAACTTTTTAATCAAAATTTCGAACCTGTTAGGAAGGATTCAAAATTTAATAAAATAATCAAAAAATACTTTGATCTTTCCTCTTCATAATAATATAAACATTTTCATGGTAAAACTTCCTTTTTATTAAATTTGTTTTTTTTTTTTTCATCATCATGCTATTCTGTTTTTTTCATCAAATTAGTGGAAGTACCTAATTAAATTTAATATTTCCAATAAGCAAAATACTTTGTGTATTTCAAAAACTAATTTAAATATACAGGAAGGAGTTTTTTTGTTTTTTTTTTCTAAAATATCTGATTAGCACCCTTTTTTAGTCGTCTTTTATCTCAATGTAATTTTCTTTATTAAAAAATCATCTAAAAATAAAATATACTTTACTGAAACTTTATTTAAGGAATATTAGCTGATTTAAAGTATAGTAGAATCTTGTATGAATGCATCATCATACGAGCAACTTATTTTACAGGTTTACAGGCTGCTATTCGTGATTATTTTTGTATCGTAGGATGAGTAAAAATTTGCAGTATGAGCAACCATTATTTACACGAAAGTAGTCGGTGACTGAAGTAAAGAAAAACATTAACAACTGACATCATCTATTTCTAAGAAATAACACGGTCAAAGCCAAGTGGAAGCACATATGTCAACACCTGACATCCAGAACATATCATTTTATTGGAGAAAATTATTTGAAGTACTTATCACAGATAGCAGCACCTACCAATGCTATCGATTGCCTCTCTTTCCCTTTAGTTACCGATCATTATCTTGCTCAATTCAAGTATTCATTTCGTAATGGCAACATCTCAATTGTTTTGTGCCAGAGAAATTTCTTTGAAACACTCTTTTTTTTTTTTTTTTTCCATTTATTTAACCATGGATTCAAAGAAAGTAAGTGTTATAAATAGGGGTAATAAGAAGAAAAAGCCAATTACATTAGAAGTGAAGAAAGAAATAATAGAAAAAAATGAGAGAAAAATCTGTGTAGTGGACTTGGCAGAGCAATATGACTGAACAATGTCAACAATCTGCACCATCTTGAAGCAGAAGGATGAGATAAAAGATGTTACACCAGCAAAGGGTGTTTCCAGGCTGTCTAGACAAAGAACAAATATCCATGAAAAGATGGAAAAGCTGCTTCTCCTTTTGGATTAATGAGAAGCTGCTCGCAGGCGATACTCTGACAGAAATGATTATTACTGAGAAAGCCTGAGTAGTCTATGGCGATCTCCAGAAGCAGAAGTCAGGACCATCAATGCAAGAGACTCCAGCAGAAGAGTTTAAGTCTAGTCAGGGCTGGTTCGACAATTTTAAGAAGCGAACTGGTGTGCACAGTGTTATGAGACATTGTGAAGCAGCCAATTCTGTTAAGAAGGCAACCGATGAATTCATGAAAGAGTTCATTTTGCTTATCGCAAAGTAGGGATATATCTCTCAACAAGTGTTCAACTGCAATGAAACTGGACTCTTCTGGAAGAAAATTCCCAAGAGGATGTACATTACTGCCAAGAAGATACAAAGCCACAAGCCTATGAAAGATAGGCTAACCCTCATATTCTGCGCTAATGCAAGTGGTCATCTGAAAATCAAGCCCTTGCTTGTGTATCATTTGGACCCCCCACCACCCCACCTTCCCCCAGAAGTTCAAGGCACATAAGATCCAGAAGAGGCAGCTACAGGTTTTTTTTTGGGGGGGGGTGCTAAAATTAACAAAAATTAAAATAAATACAAATAGCACTTTTTTCTTTTTTTATTGAAAAGGTGGAGTTTTTGTTTTTTTTATGAAGTCAGCTTAAATTTAGTCTTTCCTCTCAGAAAGAGACAAACATGAAATATTTCCAAAATCAAACTAGTAACATTCCACCACTACTGAGAAGACCCCCAACTTTCATCTATCATGATGGATGGGCATTTTCTCAAGAGGGAGGCTCCTTGCCTTTAATGTCTATTGGAACTCATCCCAGATCTCGAGTGGAACTCATGTATACAATCTATCACAAAAGATGCTGTAAGAATGGTCAGTTCCTTGTACTGCTCCAGTAATTATCAGACTCCTCCTACTATGCTCTATTTTTATAAGAGACGGATCAAACAAAAAAAAAATGGAATACTGATGCTATATCTGGGCTAGAGTTGCCCAGTTCTCACTTGCCTGTCTTGATAGTGTCAACATGGCTTTGCAGGTGAATAAATTACTTTCCACCCTACAACCCCTTTCCCACAGATATAATGTTGCAAGTCACTCGCTACTCTCTCGCTATTTCCATGGCAAATGTTCTGGCTTGCTACAATCCTAGGTCCAACCAGTCCTGACCTTTGCAGCTGGGACCTGCCATGCCACATACATAAGGATGAATCATACTCTATCCCTTCATATTCCATTAGTAAGAAGTGAGTTCCACTTGGACAGCTTTTACCCAAGAACTGCTGCTTTGTGGAACAGACTCCCATGAGGATGCTTTCCCACTCATTACAATCTTGACCTCTGGGGTTAACCATTATCTTTCCTACAAAACCTTACAAACTTCTTGCTTTTTCTCACACTCATACAACACTGCACAGTAACCTTCTACCTTGAGTGGCTCTTGGGCCTTGTATTGGGTGAACATTATGAAAAACAGAAAATGATATTTATAAGCAACACATTTTGATTTAACTTTGCGGCATTTAGAAGTTCTATTCAGATAGGTTTCAAAAAATGTTTTTCAAAACAGAAAAAGAAATCCCACTTTTAACCTATCTTGTTTTTATAAATTACATAATATTCATTTGTCAATGTAGACCCTAGATCTTTTTTTTTTTGTTTCAGGTGAGAAATATGTCATGACCCTTTTTAAAGTTCTCTCTTTTGCTGATCAAGGTAGGTTTAGAAGAATTACCTGATAATTTTTCTATTTGTTATATTGTTTTTTTTATTATTATTATTATTACAACAACATGTTGAAAATTCCTTTTGACTCAAAGGGTAAATCAGAAGTAGTAGTCTGGTACAGTAAGTGTTGCAAAACACTGCCTAGTCTTGCAACCCAAAATTCAGCCAGGAATCAATTAATAATGAGAGAAGAAGAGAACATGTGGAATGACTCCATTCTCATAAAGTCCCTCTCACAAAAAAAAAAAGATGAGAAGGGAGGGAAGACAGGCCTTAAGTAACAAGGTGGCAGACCTGCGCATCCCATGTTTCTGCTAAAAAGATTACAAAAACCAGTGCTAGGAGTGGCCTCGCTTTGAAAAACAAGCCATGGCAAACACTCCATCTCCCACATCTGACCACAACTCATGCAGTTAATTTCACTTATTTTTCCACAAACAGCAAGAAGGTTTAGATTAGTTCAAAAATACAGCATATTTTAAGCATGAAGCAAAATTTGGCTTTTCTACAGAAACACATCTGTTCATAAAATCATTTTTTCCAAAACATTTTTCTTATTACTATCAATTAAGTTCTCCAAATCATAAATATATGGGTGCAGCTCTTCTTGATGGTCAAAGATTGCCGCCTGATCTCCCTTCCAATATAGCAAAAACTTGCCAGTGGGGTAAGAACTGGCTGGTTACATGCAATCCCTTGAAAACCAAACTAGTTACATTCCATCATCGCTAATCAGACTCTGAACTACCACCAATCAGGGTGAACGTGTGTTGGAATGTGTCACGAAAAAATAAATGATTTTGTCTCTTTCTCTCCTGCTGTCGTAGCGACGGGCACAGTCTCCACTTCTGAGACTGAAAACTGCCCTCCTTCTCATTCCAGCCCTTTACATAGAGCTTGGTAACTCACCTATGCAAAACACCAACAAGCCAGCTACCAATCACAGTTCCCGTGCCTGCCCACCTCCACTCGCTTTAGGGGTTTCAAGTTGACCGACCAACTCATTACAGAACTGATGTCCCCTCAGGGAAGCACTGTGCCTTGAAAGACTATTGGAACTCAAATTCGCACTTGACCTCAAGTGGAACTTGTATATACAATCCATTGCTAAGGATGCAGTGTAAAATGGTCAGCTCCCTGTACTGCCCCAGTAAGTAGTTGACTCCTGCTAACATCTAACTTTACAAGTGCCAGATCAGACCAAAAATGTTGTACTGTTGTCATATTTGGGTGGGAGCTGCCCAGACCTCACCCTTCAGACTTGATAGAGTCCAAAAGCATCTCCAAACCCTTGTGAGTGACAAATTATTCTCTAGCCTCCAACCTCTCTTTCACAGGAAGGATGTGGCAAGCATGTCACTGCTGCATCAATACTTCCATGGAAAGTGCTCAGACGAACTACATTCCTTGGTCTAGCCAATTCAAAACTTCATGGCTAGGACACACCATGCCACTTATATAGTAGCAAACCACCCACATTCTGTCCATGTTCCATCGGTGAGAAGTATGTTCTACTTGAAACACTTCTTCCTGCAAATCACTGCTCTGTGGAACCAACTCCCAAGTGGATGTTTCCCCAATCACTACAATCTTAACCTGTTCAAGGCTAAGATTAACTGTTATCTTCCACTCTTCTACACACAAATGGCCTCTTAATGTAACCCTCTACCTCATGTGGTCTCCAGGCCTTGTAAGGGGTGTATCTTGCTGTAAAAAAAATTTTAAAAATTAGGTCACAAGTATTCATCCAAACAAGTTTAATTAAAAATAACTAACAAGGTCAGTTTATTTAATTTTTTCTTATATTTTTCTATTTGTTATATTATTTATTATAATTATTACTACAACAGAAGGCTTAGATTAATTAAAAAATTCAGCATATTTTAAGCATGAAGGAAAATTTGGCTTTTCTACAGAAACACACCTTTCCATAAAATAATTTTTTTCAAAACTTTTTTTCTTATTACTATCAAATAAGTTCTCCATTTTATGAAAAAGAAATATTTATATAAATACAAAAGGAAAACTTATAGAAAACTATGCATTTCATCCTCTGAGGGACTTTGTCAAGGTAAATGTGGACGAAACACTTTGGCAACACATTTGTAGTGTTGAAACATAATTGCCATTATGTAATGATTTTTAACGTGTTTTGATATCCTAAAATAAATTATATTTAACTCTACTCTGTATTGAGCCCCCTTTTAAATTAAATGTTACATACAGTGATATTATGCTCTATTTGTTCTCATTTTACCTGGAGATATATATATATATATATATGCACACACACATACACACACACACAAAGCGTTGGTACAGTTAGAATAAAATTCTGATAACAAAAACATTATTCTTAAAAGAGTGCTCAATACCGAATTGAGCAAATATTATTTATTCAAAATTATAATGTATACATGTTATAACATCACTACAAAATTATAATTTTGTTTCAACACTTCTGGTGTCTTATCAAGTGATCTTGATTTTGTAGTAATGTTATAACATGCATGTTATAATTTTGAAAATATATATATATAAATTCATGAATCATTCATACAAAAAAACAAATATATGAATGATTCATGAATTTATAAATTATATTTGCACCTTTTAATTGAAATATATATATATATATATATATATATATATATATATATATATATATATATATATATATATAGTAAATATTCATCCAAACACGTATGATTAAAAATAACTAAGAAGCTTTCTGTTTAATTTTTTTCTGTATTTTTCTTATTTTTAAATATAATGTTTTTGAACAAAAATAACAAAATATGAACTTTGGACAGTTGATCTACAAATTCAGGCACAACAAAACAACAACAGAGGACAATAGTCTGAATATAAATAGTGTAAATAATTATTACTTCTGTTTATAAACATGTGTTGCAAAATAAAATTGTAGTATCGTATGCAAATTAGATAGACAAGTATAAATAGAGAACAACTGGCAAACATGAGGTAGCTATGCCTAGCAAACCCAGTTGCTATTCAGGACACAGAAAACTGTACTATGACTACTACTTTGGAGAGAGATATTTAAATCATAACAAAAATCCTTACATTTCCCTTGATAAAGTCCTTCAGGAAAAAATGCTGTTAAAGAAGTTTTCCTTTTATATTTATTGATATATATTTTAATTTTCTAAATTTTAAGAAGGCGGTTCTATTTCTTATATAAATTCATTGTAAATTAATCCCTCTACATAAGCTAAATAAGAATATATTTGAAATTTATATTTCATGGCTGTTTTCAAATTATTTAAAATTTTGTGCATAAGCTGTAGTATTTTGAACACACACCCATCTACTCTGTAACATGTTTTCTTTTACTAATCTCTTTTGACTTACTTTTGATAACCTCCCTTGGTTGTCACTCTCCTGATACAAAATGTGGCCATCTTGCTAGTTTATTAACAGATCACAATATCTATCAGAGATGAAATTTAAATTTTTATTATTGCATTATTCCAAAATTTTAACACATCAGCAGATAGCTATTAATGTAAAAAACTGAGCACAAATAGTTATTAATTAAAAAAACTAGTAATTAATGTATACTAATATTATCTATAGCTACATATACAAGAATGTCATTTTTGATAAAAGTTAAAAAAAATAACTATAAATATGTAAAAAATGCGTATATTGTCGAAAATTCCTTTTTCAACAATATAGCTATTTGTGCTATGTAATAATGCTTATTACCTAAACAATAATAATACTGAATTAATTTTTTTAGACATTAAAATATATTTAATCACCTCACCCTAATAGCTGTTGCAATCTGTAAAACTCTTCCAAAAATCTCACATTTTCCTGTCATCACTATATAAGCCTTATTTAAAAACAGCACAGGAGAAAAAAGGCAAGTTAGGAAATGCTTTTACACAACATAGCGAGAATAAGTGACATAACTTTCATTAGGGTTATATTTTAAAAATGTCTCAAACACTGCTCAACATGACAAGGCTCAGCTAAAACTGGCACTAATTAAACGAAAGAAATACAGTGTTAATGTTGTCTTATTCATGCCACGTTCTTTTGCAGTTTTATTTTTATTTCACCACATTTAAATCTTTAATGGTCATACTTTCCTTTATTTTTTTTTACTCTCAACTGAAGTATCGCCGTTATTATTAAACTTAAAGGCAAACTATGTTTATTCCAATACATAAAGGGACGTTACTCTTATTCCCGCATATCAAGGGACATTACTCATCCTCAGTGGAATTTTGTAATTCTGATTAGCAAATTTTTTATTTTTTGGGGATGAAAGGATAACCGGCATTCTACTGAAGTATAATCTTGGTAATGTGCAGCAAATCATGAAACAATTCAGCAAAAAAAAAAAAATATTTTCAATCACATAAATTAGAATAGAAGACACATTTTTTTTTAAATTTTTATTAGTATGAAGCTTAAGCATGACAAAGCTCAAATTATTGATTTGTTTTTTATGGTTTATCAACCTTTAAGGTTCAGATTAGTTAAAAAAAATATTATGCATATTTTAAGCATGAAGTGAAGCTCTCACTTTTTTAACACAGCTTTATAAAGTATTAGTAACTAAAATTTCTGACTATAATTAAGTTAATATCTGAAGCACGAAATAGGCATGAAATAAGCATTAAACTTGAGAAATTGTTAAGCATGACAAAGCGCAACTAAGATGAAAGATAAGAACAAAAATTCTCCTCACTAAGATGCGTATGGACAAAGAGGCCTGCCATGACAGTTACTACTGCTGTTAGAAGCAAACACATGGTCACATAGATTCCTTCATCACTGTAGTGTAGAAAATGTTTTCTATTTTCAGTTGTTTTTAATAAACTCTTGCAGTATTGCAACTCAGACCAGATACCAGGTTTGTTTGCAGGGTACAGCTCTTTCTGTTGAATGCTTATGGCTTAATACAAGGAAAATAATTGTTTGGCTGGATCATCACCAAAGAAAAAACTATGAGAAGAAACTGTAGCAGTCAGCAAATTTTGTTCAGTTGTACCTTCTTGTAAGTGAACAAGGAAAAATGAAGTAAAAGGAGCAGTCTAACTGGCATGTGTCTTTCTTTTGCATAGGAGGCAAGCAGCCCTCTCATTTAGGTTACTAGGGGCCAATCTCTTATAGAAAAAAAGCCTTCTTTCTCCTGTCAGTTTTCATCTAAAAAAAATCATTTCTCAAGAACCAAGAGTATATTGACCTCATTCTTAGTCTGCTCCATTCAGCTGACCTTCTTTGTCAAGACAGTAATTGTCAAAACAATGTCTGTAACATTCTGTAAATATCTCCTTAACAAGATATCAACTGATATTTCTATGCCCTGTGAAGAATTTGTCAGGAATTTTGTCATTGATTACAAATTTTCTACAGAAGGAATTCTCTTTTTACCTTTTTCTTGTCTGACAAGCTGAAATCAAAATATTACAGACTCAGTTCGAAAATAGATTCTCGTTGCTTTTGGATAAATGCAACAAATTTTTAAAGCACCACTAGATTAATGGTTTTGTAACACCCTTTGTATGGTTATCCCAACACAACCTGTTACAAAATTTTCTCACACCTTATGCTTTCCTAATTAAAATTCCTGCATTACCTGTTTCAGGAATTTATGACATTGTCCACAATCTGGGTTCACTTGCTGCTCGCTTTATCTTCTGCCCCCTTGAAGAAAGTGGGTACCTTTTCTTCTCCCAGTTACTAGAAAGAGGGCAACCACTGAAAAAACAAAGAAAGGTAGGTGCATTTTGTCACTATTTACAATTGTCAATATGGCAAAATATTGGACAGGTGAGAAGTTGGAATACATGAAATTGGTAATATACTTCGAGAATGAAGACAAAAGGAATGGTAATGTATGCAACAGATTGGCCACCTGGATTTTGTTAATCCAATTTTTTGGAATCAAAGATAATGGCAAATTGTAATCATTAACAATTCATTGTCGTATGGACATTAACAAGGTTGATGGTTTGTGTGTATTTTGGGTGTGTCTTTGCATATGATAAACAAAGAAAAAGCATACAAAACTTGGGTTTCTACACAGATTGTTTATTTTGTTTATGATCGTGACTGTAGTGAATAAAGTTCTCTCTGTCTCTTAAGTATGTCCGTTGTCTTTCTGGTCCAAAAGTTAGGGTAGGTAAGTGTAAGCGTTGTATTCATGGTTAAACTCAAGTCAGCCTTGCACAGATTTGGAACAGCCAAAGGAAGGTTTGTACTTTCTTTATCACTGGGAGGTTTAAACATGGTTATGGGATGTCTGTTTTCTATTTCTTGGTCCAGAAGTTATGGTAAGCCAGTATAAGCATTGTTACAATGGTCACACTCAAATCAGCCTTGCACCGAGCTGGAACAACCAGAGAGAAAGCTTGACTTATGTTATAGGTTGAGGTTTTGGAAAACATGTACGAGTGACATGTGTTGGAAAGTGGGAAGACAGTTCAGTCATCAGTGGACCGGGGGGAAACTAACGTTCCTCAGCAGGAATGTAATTATCATGTGGTTCTACATCGTGGAACAAAAAGGAGAAAAGAGTGTGAGCAAGAAAATTTTAGTCTTTTTATAGACTTCAAAAGTGCCACCTAGTGGCACTTGATTTCGCAAAATGCCACCTAGTGGCATTTTGCGAAATCAAGTGCAGTAATCATATGGGTTGCACATCACGAAGGACGGAAGAAGATTATTGACATTGCTAACTGGCCAGCAGTAGTGTCATCAACTTATGGCCTTTGGAGGGGGAGCTATGCACGCCTGTCTGGACCATTCGATCTGCTAGGAGTTAGTTAGGGGAGGGAAGAGCTGAAGGGTTACAAACTTAGAGAAGAAATTATGGAATAATTGAGTGAAGAATTGAATAAAACAGAATGGTTAAGAAGAATAAAAACAAGAGAATCTTGTTGCCTGGCAGGAATGATCAAAATGAAGGGGTTGATGATAATGATGATGATAGCCACACTGATGAGGACGATGAGGATGGTGGAAGCTTGGAAGCACAGCTGAAATACCATTTTTAAAAAGACAAGTGAAGTAATAATAACCAGGTCAAAATGGTTGATCACATTCTTGATAGATTTAAATCCATACGAGTCGCTGTTAAATAAACTAAGAAATGAGCTAAGGCAGCTGGATGCAGCCTGATTGAAGGTAGAGCAAGATTATTCCCAGGAGAAAAGATATCTCAGATTATTATATTTCCTAGAATTGGAGGCCACTATGATAGAGGCTCAATGGTGGGACATGAAAAATTACCTGAAGGAAATAGAGCTACTGCAGACGAGAGAAAAAAGATTGGTGGTTCCGATTGTGGGAAAAGCGTTAAATATCCTCTTTGGAACAGTGACTGAAGATGATGTTAAAATCATAAGAAGAAAACTGGGAGAAGTGGAAATAAACCAGAGAATGCTAGCTCAGGTGGCAAGCGAGAGTGTGTCAATATTAAATGTGACAAGGTTAGAAGTGGCCAAGAATAGAGCCAGAATTAATTGGTTAATAAATAACCTAGCAGGGTTGAGACAAGAGGTAATTAATGATACAGAAACTGTAATGATGGAATTACAGGAAATAAGTGGATTTATGCAAAGATATTTCCAACTAATGATAATTACGAATAAGGTACGACAAATTAGTCAGTCGTTGATAACCTAGCTGGAACATGTGAGAGTGCAATTAGATATGTTGTCATTGGGACACCTGTCCCCAAGCATAGTAACCCCCGGTCACTTAAAGGAAGTACTACTTGGAATACAAACCGAATTACCCCATCATTTAAGGTTGCCAGTGGATCCCATCAAAGAATTGTGGAAATATTATAGTGTGCTGGGATTGTTGGAAAGTGGAAAACTATTAGTTTTGATGTCTATTCCGTTGTTGGATGGAGGGAGTATATTCAACATATACCAGGTTATAAATTTACCTATTCCTTACCCCAGAGGTGATCAAGGTTTGGGAATGATACAAGGTGGAAACGGAATACATAGCTTTAAATTTGGGTAGAACAAAGTTCATTTTGTTAACAGCCGATGAAGCTAAAAAGTGTAGAAATGATGCTCTGGGGACTTGTACATCATTGAGCCCCATCTATGTAGATGGTAATCACAAAATGTGTGTGCTTGAATTGTTTGAAGGGAAGAAAGAAATTAAGAGAACTTGTCAAGTGGAGGTATTAGCAAACACAGCATTACCACAAGCTATCAGTGTTTCAGACAGGGTGTGAGCAGTTGCCACACAGAAATGAATCAGCTAGTCTAGGGTATCTGGGGGAGAGTCCACAAGGACACTAAGAGTGAAACCACCATTATCCCTGTTAAAATTACCCCTGGGATGTTCGGCATTTGGGATATCCATTTCTTTACCCCCATATTATCAGGTAGAAGAAAAATATGAAAAGAGAGATTCAATTATAGAATTGATTGACAGAAGCTTAGTCAATTATACAGAACTGTGGGAGGGGATTCCCCAATGTTACCTTGAATAAAATGCCAGTGCTAATGAAGCCGATAGGAAAGATTGATATGGATCAGTTAAGGGACAAGTGTGTTGGGAAAGGAAGGTATGGCTTGGGAGGATGATGAACAGATTGCAATAAATTGGTCAGCAATGATAGGTACATTAATAATTATCGCCATGGAAATTTAGAAGTAAGAGGGAATTAATTTGTGGTAATCAAATGAGCATACAGCAACTTGAGAGGGAGATGCTGAGCAGTGTTCTTTACCCAGACAGAATCAAGGAGGAAATTGCAGGAAAGCCGACAGAAGAAGATAAAGTGGAACCAATGCGTACAGCAGAAAAACCTCCTGTAGCAGAGAGAAAAACATTGACCAAGAAAAACGAGCCACACACATATACCCACAAGCACATGCACACTTTAAATTGCATGAAAAAGAAAATGAAATGAACATTACACTGCATGTAGAACAGAAGCAGAAGAAAGACTGATCACAAAACATACCGTGAAAAGGAATATAGAATTGCATGAAACAGATGCATGATGCATGCTAAATAGTGTACTGGGATTTAGGTGTCATTGACTTGTAAATGACAAGGTAGGCAAGGGAGGATTTTGACACTATTTAGCTACAGTAATTGGCTAACTAATTAACCATAGAAATTAAAAAGGAAATACTTAAGGTGAAAAAGAGCTATCCCAAAACATAGACTGATCGATGTTAAAAAAAGATTTTATTTTATTTACGAAAAAGATACTTTTCACAAAAGACAGCAAACCCATGGAAAAAGCCATATGTGAGGCTTTGTCAGGTTGATTAATGTCTTGCCGAGGGAGATAGGAAGAAAGACAAATATTAAGATATCGGCCAGACCATGGCGGTCATAAAAATTTTGGCTTGAGACAATCGCCGATAAAAGCAGGGAGAATCAATGTTAATTACCTTTCCAAGATATCATTTTTTTTTTCTTGGCCCCCGGCGAGGAGAAGCAATGTGGCAATTATAAAATTTTGGCATTGTCTCGACATAAGTGAGAGGATTGTTATTATTTGCCTTATCAACCTGTCGCTTAAGATGCTGAAACGTTGAATATCAATATGGCATTTGTAAAATTCTGGCATGAGACAGAAAATAGAGTGGAGAATTGAGATTTCGCAAGATAAAAGAATTTAATTTCTCAACAAGCCAAGGATTCCATTATAAAGCTAACTTCACAAAGGGACCAGATGGCAAGCTTTGACAGTTTTGATGGAGTCAGTAGAGAGTGCTGACTAAGTGAATTCTGGATGGCCAAAAGATATAGAAATTTAATTAGCAATATGGAATTCATCAAAATTTTGGCCGATGGGGTGGGGGGAGAATTTTGTAAACAAAAATTCTAGATTATAATTTTAAGGAGGCCAGCTTAGCCACACCCACACAGCCGAGATGCCATTGGTTGAGTGGTAGCAATGGTGATAGAGCTTAACCAGGAGAAAAACACACTCCAGTTTATAATAGGATAAAATTAATTTGTTATTTCTTAACATACTTGAACCTCTTGGGTTTTTCTTTTATTTATTTTTTTTTCCTTTGCGCTTGTGCGATTCCACCTTCAGTCCAGATTCAGCCTACAATACGGCCCGACGTCTGATTGATGTCATCTACCTAAGATCAGTCACAACGGGGGTAGGTTAGACTTGAGATCAAAGCAGTTACTCCAGTAACCAGACGTTGGGAAGTGAGCTGGGAACGATAGAGCTGGTATTGAACCAGTACAGCTGGTGAAGCTGTTAATATCGACGACCAGAATTTAACACTGGATGGGCCAGTGTTCCATATTGGCATCCTGACCAGGGGATTTCGCTGAGTAGCAATGACCACTGATCAACCGGGACACAGGCTGGTGGCGGCGACAAAGAGTCAAACCCCAAAACACCGGTAGAAGAAATATTACAGTTTCATGCTGCGACTCGGAGTTGACCACAGGCTGACGGCTGGGTGTCACATATATTCTTAAAATATTTTGACAAGATCACCGCAATATACAGTAAATGTTGATTGCACAGGGTGAAGTACCAAATGAATTTTAATTCTAATAGCTTTATTTAGGGTATACAGTAATATTATCAATAGGAATCAAGAAAATTGAGGAGCATTATAATAGCCTATTCCACTATTCATATATAAATTATGTACAAAGTATTATGGTACATGCTATAGGAAGAAATTATTTACAATACACAGAAGAAAATAGTTTTTTTATTGAACAACATTAATATTAACTATACAAGAATAAATTACTTCCAGAATGATGCCCAGTACTGCAATATTTGACTATGATATCCTACTAGTATTGCTTATACACAAACTATATGAAGAAAAAAAATCATGTTTTTCCAAAAATAAATTCAATGTTTGCACTATATATGGAATAGACTTATACACGAGTATATACGGTACGTGTGGCTTATACTAGAGCAATGGTTCCTGAATTTTTTTTCTCTAGGCTGCATTTTCAGAATTAAAAATTGACCGATCTAGCATCAGTCAGAGATTCTACCCCTAAATCATTGGTGCACGGCAGAGAGAAAGGGAAATTTTAGCATTTTTTCTATACAAAATATGCCAGTGGCTAAGAGAACTCTCTTTATACATGAAGAGTAATACATTCATAGCAGCAGCAGCAGCCACTGTTTTTATTAAATTTATTCTTTTTCTCTAGAGAGCTCTATCAAAGGGTCTCCAATATCTCTATTTTTTGAAAGGATATTTCATCTGACATTACTTCTTATTACTATAAACATTATTCTATTGGGTATACAGGTTTGAGTTGCTACCCTTGTCTTTATTCTCTTAAACAGTGAAATAAATGAGAAGTCCCCCTAAAGAAAAATGCAGCCTTTGACAGGAATCAAACCTACATCCTTTTTGTAACCATTAAAAATAATGTTTATGCTATATAAGATTATGATATATGACAATAGGAATAAAAATGCTGGCAATAATGGAAAACAAAATCTGAAAATTTAAATGAACATTAATAAAAACAAAAAGCAGAATGTAGAGAAACGCTATTTTCATATTCTCCACACGTGACAATCTCTGATGTCATTTTTCATTTAAAAATATGAAAATAGCGTTTCTACATTCCAGTTGCTAGGTACATTCTGTTTTTTTTTTATTAGTTACGTTGTTCATTTAATTTCATTTTCGTATTTTGCTTTGATAAAGTCCACATTGGACGAAACGCGTCAGCAATTACCAGTTTTCCTATTGTCATTTTTATTCATAAATATTGTCTTCTCTACCGATTAAATCGGAGAAATTTTCACATCATATATATATGTGTATTGTTAAAATCTGTTTCTACTTACTCATTCGTTATTCAGATGTATATTATTCAAGTCTAACTTTACATTACTGATATGTTAATTATTTGCAGGAATCCTCCATTTTGGCTCAGAAAATCCTGAGTGCTCTTTTGAAAACAGTCACATTGATTGGGTTGACCATTCTTGTCTACGGTTACTCGTACTCTTTCCTTGCTTTAGACATTTATGGTGGATCGGCATTAAGTGCATCTTCGGGTGAGAAGGATTCCTCTTTCTTTTCTCCATGTTTAAATTTCATCAATCAGTTTATTTTGGGGAAATCTTCAGTTTGTGATTTAGAAGAACCAAGTTGTAACATTTGATTGAAAGAGAACAAGAAAAATTATTAGATAAAACATAAAGGTACTTAGAAAACCTGATAGATATATATATATATATATATATATATATCTCATTATAATATGGACAAAGTCTGACAATTATTTTAAGACATTTTTATGTTTATACATTCTTTTTATAGATACAAATATTTAAGTAAATGTTCTGTTTATAATAAACAGTATTAACATTTACCAGCCTGAATGTCCAAGAAATTGTTATAAAAAATATGCGTCCTCTGACAGGAATTGAACCTGTATCCTATACAGAACTGTCATATAGCCTGACGTGCTTTTACCAATTTTGCCACAGAGGAGTATTTCGGTTAGCAAGGTCGATTTTACTGTTTTTGAACTACAATTTTCTGTGATTTTCTCACATACATTCATATCTGCTTGATGCATATCCAAATGTAAACAAATGATGTCACACATTATGAAATGGACAAAGTCGGACAATTATTTTAAGACATTTTTATGTTTATACATTCTTTATTTTATAGATACAAATATTTAAGTAAATGCTCTGTTTATAATAAATAGTATTAACAACAGTTTGGAATTTCTTCTAGGTACTTAGATCAATATACATGGAAAATTGTAGTTTAAAAACAGTAAAACCGACCTTGCTAACCGAAACACTCCTCTGTGGCGAAATCGGTAAAAGCACAACAGGCTATATGATGGTTCCGTATAGGATATAGGTTCGATTCCTGTTGGAGAACGTATATTTTCTATGACAATTTCTCAGACATTCAGGTTGGTAAATGTTGTTAATACTGTTTATTATATCATCCTTGGGTTCAACTGGTAAAGCAAAAAACTTTGTGTCGCTATCCATTACTAAAATTTTTCTTTTGTATTTAAATGTTACAGCTGGCAGTTATGCTTTAGCATTCATTAGAACATGAAAAGTTATTCATTATGGAATTTTTCTTTTATGTTGGAATGTCATGGTCGAGTGTGCATTAAAGTGTGAAAACCATTCTTTTTATAGACATTTTAGAACATTATTACTGTATTTATAGCTGATTCTATTCAGTGTCAGCTTCAGTTTTTTTTAATGAGGATTGCTTCGAGGATCTGTAGTTTTAATTTGTTATTTTCTTGGTATAGGATAGTTGTGTTATCAATCAGTATTTTTCTATATTGTGAATGTTGACAGGAATGTTGGTGTAAATGTCTCGCAGTGGATGAATGGTCAGACATGTGTAATATATAATGACTGCTGTTTACTCAATTTCAAGCATAGTTACTTTTTATATGTAAGTACCTGTCAGCCAGAGATATTATTGTGTACAACATGTAAGCTACTCTGTGAACATCAACTATCATATTCCAATGGCAAGAATGCTGGTGATAGCTTCAGTCATTAGTTTTTAATTTAGAGTTGCCATTCTCCTAGGCTGGCTTCTACATAAGGCTGAAGAGCACAATGAAATGATTACCAGTGCCATCACTTCCCTGAGCAAGAAAAAATATTTTTCTTTGTTGGCTATCCTGAAATTTATCACCATTCAATCAGCGAATATCCAAATAAAAAATCAGCAAGAATCCAAATGATATGAATAACCAACTGAAACTGGCTCTAAAGAAGGGAGTAATTGACAATGTCCTGACCCAGGTGCCTCTGACTCTTTCAAAGATACTAAGAAAACCCATCACCAAAGATGCTGGAAAAATGGTCAGTTCTATGTAAGTACCTGCCACCTCCTGCTATGTTCTGCCTTTACAAGATCATCGAAGTTAAGCAACATCGAGCCTAGCCAGTACCTAGATGGGTGATTGCTTGGGAATACCAGATGCTGTAAGCTTGAATGTGTGGGTGGTGTAATGGATAATGGCTCTTAATTTTAATCAGGGAGCCAAGTTCCAATTCCCATTGGGTTTGTTATATTCACTTATGCATAAATACGACTGGGAAAGATATGGATCTACCTCTTTTCCACCCAGCTATGGATTAAGTAGTAAGACTTGTATTGCAAAACCATTTGTTGTGGTAAGAGCCAATTACTAATGATTGGACTGATTCATTCATGGTAAGTAATCTTGGTTAATTGTATAGAGGGGAAAAAGAAGATAATACTATTGCAGTGACTTGTTTAGCTGATTACTGAATACTGTTATCACAACTGACTCTCTTGTATTAAGTGTTGTGTGTTGCCAGACCCCACATCACAACACCATTATCATCTAAAAAACAAATGCTTACAAAAGTGATCAAGCCCAAGACTCCAAAATTCCCCAAGAAGCCCTAAACTAAAACTGCATCTAAAAACCTCAAGAAATAACCCCAAAAAGCTGTCAAACTCAAGCTGAAGAAGGTAGCTTAGATACTAGTGAAGAAAACGTATGCATATATGTACAAATAACAACATTGTGTAATTGTTATTGGAAAGCTAAGGAATTTGGAAAAATACCTGAAACTGAAGATAAGCATGTTGAGGCAAAGGTGTAGATTATGCTGTGAAAAAAGAAAATGTTGCAATTGAAATGCCTCCACATCATATGCTCTTATTTTTTTTTTTTTTTTTTTTTTTGTCAAATTATTTAAAAATCAAGCCAGTGGTCTCAAGACTTTATTATACAAGTCAGGACTTTTTAACAATATTGTGCTACAATGTATCATCTTAATTTTTTAATAAGAAATCTATAGAAATTAGATCTTTGTTAAACATGAAAAGATTAGATATTAAAATTTTTATGACGGCTTCTGTTTGTTTTTCAAATTTACAGGCCCCACATTACTACGTTGGTATTCCTTGTATGTCTTGGTTATTGCTGTGAATGGCGTCACTGAATGTTTTGTATTTGCGACTATGAGCCATGAAGAATTGGACAGGTAAGATAATGATTTCAATAAATATTTTTTTTTAAATGCTATGTTCCTTCAAAATGTAGGCAGTCCTGTCTCTCCACAGATTCATTTTTTCTTTTTGTTTTTCTTTTTTTCCTTTAAATTGCCATACATTCTTGGGAAAGATAGTAGTTTTGTGTTACCTTTTCTAACATCACAAAACTGACCTTCAATCTGTTGTTAATTGGGGCAAGAAATGGCTTGTAAGTTGCAATGCCTCTAAAATGAAACTGATGTCTTTTAGTCATCTTAGAGAATCATTTTTACCCTCCTGATGCCAACCTCCAGGAGTGAAACTCATTGTGCCTTCTCAGTTTTACATTTTCCACTAACTTAAAGCAGGACGACTGTATTGAATCAGTTGCTCACAAAGTTGGTTCACTGTGTCATGCCAGACAATTTTTCAAGCCAGAATCCATCAGGCATGTTTATAAATGTATTTATTCATGCTTTGGATATTGCTGCCACATCTAATCTGGTGCTTCTGATATATATCTCAAGATTCTTAATAAAATCCAAAGAAGAACCTGCAACGTTATTGGTCCTGACCTGGCATCACTGCTTCAGTCACATTCCCACTGTCATAACATAGCTTCCCTATACTTTTTCTATAAACATTTTCATGGCAATTGTTCTGATGAGCTTTTCTCTTTGGTACCTTCACTTCATGAATTTAAGCACAGAACTAGACTCATTGTGCAGGTGGTGTAATGAATAACAGCTTGAAATTGGAAATTGTAGAGTCAAGTTCCAATTCCAGTCAGGTTCGTTATATCTATTTATGCATAAAAAAGTATTACTCCATCTTTTCTCCACCTAGGTATGGGTTGAACAGCAAGACTGAGTGCTATAACCTTGGTTGGCAACCAGTCTACTGCAGAAAGAAATGGCAACCTACTGCAGTAAAATCTTCTGCTTAGTCATGAAGTCAAAGAGACATGATCGCCGATAGTCTTGGGTATGACGATGAACTACATCCAGCAGCAAGGCCTTTGATCGGGAGATTGGGGGTTTTGAGGAGAGTGGAACTGCCTCTTAATTGCCGTTGTTCCAAGGTCCACCCTGATCCAGGGAGTCAGCATCTGTTAGCGTCCTAGCGATGGGCAAATAGTGAACCTCCAAACAAAAACAAAATACTATGAATGTATAAAAATACAGTTTTATAGTAAAAATACCAATACATTTTTATATAAAAAAAAATGGCCAGCAATACATATTTATAGTAAAAAGACTTCAATACATATTTATAGTAAAAGGATTAACAATATATTACATCTGTAGTTGAAGACATACTATTGCATTCAAAATATTTAGATTTTGGCATTAAATAACCCATAGAGGTTGATATGCCACTAAACAAAATCAACCTACCAATATTTATTTATTGTAAAATGACCAACAACATATATTTAAAGCAAAATGACCAACAATTTTACATTTTACCTCTACTTGATGCCATAAAGTTGTGTTCAATATATATAGATTTCAGCATTAAAGACCCACAGAGGTGTTGATATGCCACTAAACAAAATCAACCTACTAATATTTATTTATAATAAAATGAACAACAATACATATTTAAAGCAAAATGATTAATATATTACATTTGTAGTTGAAGGCACACAGTTGTGTTCAAAATATTTAGATTTTGGCATTAAATAACCCATAGAGGTTGATATACAACTAAACAAACCAACTATGATTGCCAAACCGTCTAGTATCACGTATGGCATTTATAAACTGACTGACTAGATTGGCAGTTAAGTCAGTCTACTGTTGAAATAACTTGATGCAACCATAATTTCTATAGATTTTTTTGTTTTTAATGTTTTTTTTCTGTTTTTTTTTCTTTCCAGATGTAATGTCATGATGCTGCTCTTCTCAGTCATTTTTCTAGCTGCTTCTTGGATACTCATCCAAATGTTTGGCAGTGTTGGATTTATTTTGGCTAACTGCTTGAACATGTTACTCCGCATTGCAAACAGGTACCTAGGTCGCTATGACTTTTTTTAATTATTAAAATTTTTGTTAGGTTAGTGGATTTGACAACATTTAAATCCTTGCCGGATCATTCAACATCAAAGTCGGTCCCCGTCTTGAATTCTTTTTCATTCCTTTTAATCCAGAACAAAATACAGTAACATCCTGCTTTTTCAGCCTTTGTCAAATTCACCTTTACGCCACTTACCTGAAAGTCATATAAGGTTGAAACATTGTTTCTCGTATTGGGGTAGATTGTTCTAGATCCACATGCCATGCCTTTTCTGGGTATTTCAGCAGTTATTTCCCTTTAGTAATTCAACTCTTTGGGTCAAGTCACTGGATTCCTTCAACTAATACTCTTATCCACTGAGCCATGTGTCCTTGGGGGACATTAGTGAATCTACTCCAGTGTATGAAATAAAAGGATCGGTTCAAAATTCCAATATATATCACCTGAAGAAGGCCAAAGCATACAACAGCGGAAACGTTGAGAATTTGACAATAAAGATGAGGACAACAGTTCAAACAATGTAAATAATTATTTTTAAGACATTTTTATGTTCATACATTCTTTTTATAGATACAAATATTTAAGTAAATCTTCTGTTTATAATAAACAGTATTAAACAACATTTACTGGCCTGAATGTCCGAGAAATTTTCACAGAAAATATTCATCCTCCGACAGGATTTGAACCTGTATCCTATATCGAACCGTCATTTAGCTTGACATGCCTTTACCGATTTGGCCACGAAGGAGCGTTCAGTTAGCAAGGTTGAATTTACTGTATTTAAACTTCAATCTTCCATGAATCTCTCACATACATTCATATCTGCTCATGGCGTATCAAATGTAAACAAATGATGTCACACATTATGAAATGGACAAATGTGTAACGTCAATGTAAATAATGTCAATAGTTACATTACCTCATCCCAGAAATGTATATTGTTTTCACTCTTCTTCAAAAAATGGCTAAAATATCTTAAGCTTTAGCAGTAGTTATTTGTTAGTAAAAAGGGACAGCCCAACATTCAAATTACAAATTGGAGATACTTATCAAATCAGTGCAAAAAATTTAAATATCTGGGAAGTGTTTTTTAACAGAAGACAGAAAGTGCAACACTGAAATTCAACAGCATGTTGGGATAGAGAAAGATGCCTTTGAAAAGCTAAGCATAGTATTAAGAAACAGGAAAATTTTGTTAGATACAAAAAATAGTGTAAAAAACTTAATATAATATCACTTAATGCTAGACAATCTTCTCACACATGAAGAAGAGAGTTGAAGAAATAGAAATGTGACTCTACAGAAGGATGCTGAGAATACCATGGATCGAATATGTGAGCAATGTCAAAGTTTAAAAGAAAATGGAAACAAAAAGGACACATACACTTCACATATTGAAGAGATAGTTGAAATTTCTAGGGTTCATAATGAGAAAAGAGGGCTTGGAAAATTTGATACTCACAGGACAAAAGCAAGAGTGGGAGAAAAATCATGCATAACCTACAACTGGCAATCTTTTAGCAAAGAGATGGTGGAACAGGGTTTGGAAGAGATGGCAAAATGATATGTTATTAAGAGCTACAAAGAACAAGAAATTGTGGATTGCCTGAAGGGACACTAGAATTAGAAGAATGGTCCTTGTCTTCATTTTAAGGCAGTAGGTCCAGTTTACATCAAAAGTCAGATTATGTCAGCTTTTGGAACTAACTAATGATATAGATATGATAAAGTCAGGTATTTCTGTCTGTCCTTAAATTGACTGGTCTTGTAAAAAAAAAAAAATATCAGTTGAACACAAATATCAATGATGTAATTAGATTCAAATTTGACACTTATAAAAAAAAATCTAATTACAGATAACTGTGTAAAGAGTCACAGATTGATTTGACAATGTATTTATTTATTTTATGAAGAGTGTTAACTAGACTGACTCTTGTGGTCCTATCAAGGATTGAACTCACCATTTTTGGCTAACAAATTTCTGAAGATATTGCTCCCACTCCTCAGCTTAATGGAATTGTTCTAAGCAATGGCAGTTGCAGGCTTGTCTCCCTTCCTGCCAAAGTGGATTTAACCTTTAGGCTTTATTTAAGTTTAGTGAAATGTCTCCTCAGGGAATATTTTTCTATTGTCTGGTGGATTGCTGTCACTCAGTTTATTAAGCAACATCCATTTTTATCCGTCCAAATCTATCTATATTATCTATATATAAAATTCTGTAACTTCTGTTAGTCTGTTCATCTGTCACACTTTCTAAAATAGGCATCAAGTTTTGGGGAGAAGTGCAAACAGGTAAGGGGGTACAAATACAGATGGTTTTCTTAGGATGCATAGCTTAGTACAATAAATTTTCATTATATTTTTGGAAAAAAATTATGTTTTATTATTTAACATATAAAATACTCTCATTATTTTAAAAACAATTTAATGCTTAAAATAACAAATAAATATTTAATAAAAATGCAATATTGTTTTTTGCATATATTTTCTGTAAGATTTTATATATATTTAATTCTGGTAAAATATAAAGCACGCTAGTGGTACTATAAATATAAACAAAGTAGGGAGAATTTGAAATAGGCAGAGGAAACAATAACTTCAACAATACTAAATACTTGTATATACAAGGTGCGATGGATAAATTGTCATATAAATTAACCAATAATGAAAATAACATTGACATCTCATTTTAACAGATATATTTAACAAAATTTCACAGAAATATCTTGAAATACTAAAGAGTAAATTTATTCAATAAAATCACTGTTGGCTTCAACCACTGCCTCCAAATCTCCTTCAACTCTTCTGGACAATCTCCTTGTTTAAGTTGGTGAATGCTGCCATAATTCTTGCCTTCAGTTCATCTTTGGTTTTACAAGGTCAGCTGCGACCCACACATAATAATCAAGGGGGTTCAGTCTGGAGAGTTACGTGGCCAAATGTAAAGGGTGATGTGGTCGCAGAAATTGTCTGGCAGCCATGTTGACTGGATATATCATTTAACTCTTTTCAAATCCTCTTCACTGTCTTCATATAGATGCCCAAACACTCTGAAATATTTATATTGGAGCTTCAGGCATGAATGCCAAGCAATACAGTATGGTGTTTCCAAGTTTCTGGTGGGGGGGAATTGTGTCATGGTTCTCTTTTTCTTACAGTGCCCAACTGACCCTACTATACTGTACAGTTGACAAAAATCAAATAAACAATGTGTATATGTGAAATTAAAAATATAAAATGGCAGCAATAAGCTTCATAAAAAAAACAATATATTTACCAAAATTACATAAAAATATCATGAAATACTAAAGAGTAAATTTATTCAATAAAATCGCCATTGGTTTCAACCATGGCCTCCAAATGACTTCAGAATCTCCTGCAACTCTTCTGAACGGTCTCCTTGTTTAAGTTGGTGAATGCTGCCATAATCCTTGCCTTCAGTTTATCTTTGGTATTACTAGGAGTTTTGTTAGTCTCTCACTCAACTTTGTGCCACACATAATAATCAATGGGGTTGCTGTCTGGTAAGTTAGGTGGCCAGATGTAAAGGGTGATGTGGTTGCAGAACTTGTCTGGCAGCCGTAACTGGGTTTGCTTGCTTGTGTAGCATGGTGCAGAGTCCTGTTGCCAGACAGGGTCTTCTAGCAGCCAGCCTCTTAACCCAGGGCTGCACTAACTCCTCAAGGCACAATGTGTTGAGCCTGGACTGTCCTCAGATTGACACCCCAAACACACTGAAATGTTTGTATTGGAGCTTCCAGCATGCATATCAAACAGTACAGCATGCCATCTCCAAATTTTTGGTGGAGTGAATTGCGTCATAGTGCTCTTTTTCTCACAGATGGTGCCCAACTGACCCTACTATACAGTGCAGTTGGCAAAATCAAAAACAAACGTGTATGCATGAAATTAAAAATATAAAATGTCAGCAATTTACCCATAGCACCCTGTATATATAAAATTCTGTGATTTCAATTGGTCTGTCCAACTGTCACACCCTCTTAAATAGCCATATATTGACTAATCAAAACCAAATTTTTAGGAGAAGTACAAAGGGGTACAAAGTACAGTTGGTTTTACTAGGTTGCGTAAAAACTGCAAAGTAGGCTTTTTATCAAAGTATCTTTCCAAACAAATCAGCTTATTCAAATTTCATCAGTTGGCTTGTGAAATTGAACAAAACATAGAATTTGTAAATCTCAACAAAAAAATGTTAGCAATGACTACCACAATATTAAATATTGTGAGGATTTTAACATGCATCACGTCAGTGTGTTTCAAAAAAATTCTAGTTGATAAAAATTCAATAATTTTCAATTCTAACATGTAATTGTTTGAGGAAGATCTAATGAATACTAATTTACAAAAACGGTTCACTTACCCAAATGTTTCTGTACTTTTTATATATTTAAATTTAAGAAAATTATCTAAAGTATAAAATTCTTCATTTAATACTGAAAATTTCAACAAGATAATTTATAAATTTGTTTTACTTTTGAAAAAAAAAATTTGATTTGCACAAAAAATTGTGTGTGTGTATGTGTGCAGGGTGTCCATAAAGTTCGTGTGCACTTTAAAAAATTTGTAACTTTATTTGTATTTGCGATAGAAATAATTCATAAAAAGGATTAGAAAGAAGTAAATCTATATTTTTTAAGGTTTTATTGAAATTTTATTTAAGTTTCCACATGTCCTCCATCATTAGCAATACAAAGGGTAATACGATTTTGCAGTTCACGGAAAACATTTGCCAACTGATTTACAGTAATGCCTGAAATCGCATTAGTTATTTTAGCTATACTTCAAACTAGGTACATTAAACTTCATAACATTTTTAAAGATTATTTCTATTGCAAATACAAATAAAGTTATAAATTTTTTAAAGTGCATACGAACTTTATGGACACTATATATATATATAATATATATATAATATACACACACACACACACACACACACACACACACACATGTATTGTTTTTGTATTATTTTTAATTTTTTTTTTTTTTTTCCAGTGTTTCATTCCTCTGGTTCTATTTCTCAAAGATTTCAAACCACCCAATGCGAGCTTTACTCTTACGACCAGAGATTTTTGCCAGTTTTGCATTTACTTTTACAATTACCTGTATATCCGAGGTAAATAAATATTATACATATAAAATGTTTTAACTTTCAGCTTGCCTGTCTTAAAGGTATTCCAATTTTGAATCACATACTGGAAGCTGAGTCCTCAAGTTTCTGCAAACCAACTGTTAGGAAAATTAATGACAAAGTAGGATAAAAAATATTTTGTTTGTTGTGTCTTGACCTTTAGAACTTCATTAGACTAAAGTGATGCTTACGTTGATGTAACTGCATATCTGCATAGAGGTGGGTGGGGACAAATTTATTTTTTTTTTATATATATGTTTGGGTGTATAGTCTAGCCAATTTAATATAGTTTCTTTTTGTTTATGTTTTTGATCACTTTTGTCATTAAATATCTCACTTTGTGACAATAGAAGATCTGCCAAGAAAGGTGTTAGAAAAGCCTGGACACAAATTTATTGTGGATGATGGAGCAAAAAATGACTAAAATATCTTAGCAATAGTCATTTGTTAGTAAAAGGGACCGCCCAACATTCAAATTACAAATTGGAGATACTAATCAAACTGGTACAAAAATTTAAATATCTGGGAAGTGTTTTTTTAACAGAAGACAGTGCAACACTGAAATCCAAGGGCATGTTGGGATAGTGAAATATGCCTTCAAAAAGCTAAGCACAGTATTAAGAAACAGGAAAATTTTGTTAGAAACAAAGAAAAGTGTACAGAACTGTTATGTAATATCAGTGAATGTTGGACAATCTTCTTACAGAGGAAGAAATAGAAATGTTACTACAGAAGGATGCTGATAATACTTTGGATCAAATATATGAGCAATGTCAAAGTTTAAGAGAAAATGGAAACAAAAAGGACATTTACACTTAACATATTGAAGAGATAGTTGAAATTTCTAGGGTATATAATGAGAAAAGAAGGCTTGGAAAATTTGATACTCACAAGACAAAAGCAAGAGTGGGAGGAAAACTATGCATAACCTACAATTGGCAAGCTTTAGTAAAGAATGGTGGAACAGGGTTTGGAAGATATTCTATGCACTTCTGTTTTAGTTAACTGCTTTTTCTGTTAATTAAAGTAGCATTTTTTTTAAATCGAAACTAGGATCAAACCCTTTATAGTGAGCAACTAATGTTTTGTAAAAGATCCCTTTTATGTCCATATAATCTTTTATTTAATCAATTGTTAAGTCTGCTGCTAGGAAAGTTGATTCACTGTGTCATGGTAGACAATTTTCTCTCCGTATTCTATCTTACATATTTATAAGTCTTACCATTCATCTAGGCTTTGAATATTGCTGCCACTTATATTTTGGTGCAACTGTTATATATTTAGAGATCCTTGATAAAACCCAAAGAAAAATCTGCAATGTCACTGGTCCTGACCTGGCATCTTTACTTCAGTCAGTTTCCCACCACCATAATGTAGCTTCCCTGTGCCTTTTCTATAAATACTTTCATGGTAGTTCTGAACTTTCTGCTATGATACCTAGACTTTATGAATTTAAGCACAGTAATAGATTGACAGCAAGGTCTCATCATTTTACAGTTGAAATAGCTAGACATAAGTTCTATGCTAACAGTTTTTTTTTTCTCTTGCATTTCTTGATTGTAAGACTCTTCCAGCTTTTTGCTTTCCAGTCAAGTTTGATCTTGAAAAATTTAAATGCAATGTCAATCATTATCTTCTGTCTTTTTAATTTCTGTTCTTTTATTGTTCTTAAAAAAATGTTTTTCTTTTTTCTTATATTCTTTCACACTCAGTAATCCCAAGCATCTTAGAATATATATTTTTACATATCTTTATGGGTAAATTTTTTTTTTGTTTTTCTTCTCCACCCGCCACTTTCTTTTGCATTCCCCCCTGCCCCGCTAATCCAACCCTTTCTTTTATTTAGGATTCGAGAGTAATTTACTTTCTACTTTCTTAAGACAATAGTTTGAAATATATTAGAAAAAAAAAAAAAACAATACTTGCACAGTTCTCTCCCTTGCATATTTTAATGACAATAACAGTGGCATAAATATGTATTGCTTAAATGTCATCTATATCTGTACTTATTTTAATCTCTAATCAATGAAATAATTAACTAATCTACTTAACTTATGTTTTTTCTCCTTCTTCAGTCAATGTTTTGCTGTGACCAGGGTTTATGGAGACGAGCCATTCATGTTGGTGTTGGCGCTGTTTGTTTGCTGACCAATCTCTTAGTTGTCTGGTTTTTTGAGAAAGACTGGATTGATTTCATCCGGAAGCTGTACTTACATCAAAAACATAAAAATCAGCAACCAAAAGTCACAGAAACAAAGGAAAAACAAACTAAAAAAAGTCCATATATAAAAAGAAAAAAAAGAAAAGCAATAGATGACTTATTATATGAAAAAAAATAACAAGGAAAACAAGGAATAAATTTTTTTTCTTTCTGTAAAAAGAATTATTTCAATTTTATTATCATTGTTCTTGTTATTATTATTTATTTATTTATTTATATCATTTATTCAAAAATTGGTTCATTTTAAAATGCATAAAAAATTTAACAAAATTAGCATATTTCAAATTTCTGGAGCTTTATATTTGTTGAGATATTGTATTTTTATTTTTAGCTCACCTTATACAAGGTCCAAAAGCCGCTCAAGGTAGAGATTTGATAGATTTGTTTTTTATGGCTTATCAACTTTTTGCTGGTTATTTAAAGCCAGAAAATATTTTTAGATTTTTTTTTTTTTTTTTTTTTAGATAATAATGATTTAATGATACAAGTCTTACTAATTAACCCATAGCTGGGGAGAGAAGTGTATTCTTTGCTAAGAAAGAAAAGTTGGTTTACTGTGCACATATAAGACAATTTTTCTCACCAGAATCTAACATACATATTTATAAGCCTACCATTTTTATCCATGCATTGTATATTGCCACCACATCTGGTTTGGTTTTCTACTATGTATCTCGAGATTCTTGTTAAAATACAAAGAAAACTCTGCAATGTTATCAGACTGGACCTGACCTGGCATCTCAGCCTCAGGCATGTTCTCACTGGCATAATGTAGCTTCCCTCTGCCTTTTTTTTCTATAAATAAATGAAGATGAAAGAAATAATAGTGAAAAATGAATAATAATTGACAATGATTCATCTAAGAAGGCTAATCAGCAGGAGTCATTCAAATTTAGCCATATAGCTATATTCTCTACTTCTACTTCTTATGGATGGGAATTTCAATAAAAAGCAAGAGAAATGAAGATGAAAGAAATACTAGTGAAAAATGAATAATAATTGACAATGCTTCATCTAAGAAGGCTAACCAGCAGGAATCATTCAAATTTAGCCATATAGCTATATTCTCTACTTCTACTTATGGATGGGAGTTGCAAGAGAAATTAAGATGAAAGAAATACTAGTCAAAAATTAATTGATGATTTATCTAAGAAATTAAAAAAAATCAATGTTGCTAGCAATACAATGAATACATGTAAATAAAAATAGCAATACATGAAGTAATCAGGATAACAAGGAATGGCTAGATGTTTAAATTTGAATGACTAAATCAAAAATTGCTGTGGCCTAATCAGTAAGGTAGCTGGCACATTACATTTTTATCACTTTATTCTTTATTTCTAATCTAAGTTACTTAAGAATCGTTATAGAATGCACAGTTGCATGCAATCAAAATTAACTTAAATATTTAAATTAAATAAAAATCAGCTTCAGTCACATTCCCATCACCATAAAGTAACTCCCTTGTATCTTTCTATATAAATATTTTCATGGTAATTGTTCTGTAATAGTGCAGTACTAGATTGGCAGCAAGGTCTCATCATTTTATGCTTGCAATGGCTAGATGTAACTGTAAGGTCAATGCTAACAGTTTCTTCTCTCATCTTCTCTAGAAATACTTTCATGGTAATTGTTCTGATGAACTTTCCTCTATGGTACCTAAACTTGATGAATTAAAGTGCAGTACTAGATTGGCAGCAAGGTCTCATCAATTTATGCTTGCAATGGCTAGATGTAACTGTAAGGTCAATGCTAACAGTTTCTTCTCTTGCACGTCTTTCGGCTTCTTGCTCCCCAGTCAACTTAGATTTTCAAAAATTTAAATCTAATGTCAATTGTTATTTTCTGTCTTTTCAATTCCTATTTTTTTTTATTGTTCTCTCTCATTAATAATGTTTTTTTCTCATTCTCTAACACTCAGTAACCCTTTGCGTCTTAGCAGCTTTATTAAACTGCTTGGGGTGAAATGATTAAAAAAATTAAACAATTTACAATGCTTCCCCAAATAAAAAAAAAAAATAATAGTAGCTACCTTTAAATATATATGACTGTGAAATAAGATTGGTTTGTGATTAGTTGATCGATTTCTATAATTTTATCTATCAGAAGGGAAAGGTTAATTTTTTTTATTGCATTACTAAAGCTTGAATTAAAAAAATAAAAAAACGTCTTGTATACTCAAAAATTAACTTCTCCCTTCCAATAGATAAAATTATAAAAATCTACTGACTCATCACAAAACCATATTTGAATATTAAAATTACATTTTGCTAAATCCTGAGAGTAATCAATGATATGTCTATTTATGGCATAAGCAATCATGACTCTCTACAGCTTCCTTTTTATTAACATCTGTACACTGTTCTTGGGAAAAAATAGTACAGTGGTTTTCCATTGCCTGCTCTGTTTTTTTTTTTCAGAATTCTCTTGTTTGTAGATTAGTGACCAACCAAGGTTAAAGATCGCAGTGCAGCCTCCATGGTTGTTCTTTAGAAAGATAATGATTTCCTGCTGCTTCCTCCAAGCCCTTGAATTCAGAGATGTCTTTCTTATAGTCTGTGTTTGTGTGTACATGTATGCACACATGCCACTGCTGTTTAAAGACTCACAACCAGGAGAGAAAATAGATTCATGTTTTTCTCTAGGTATGTATGAAGTGAACATAAATTACTTCAGTTCATGAATTCCATTTTCAGTGAAGATAACCGTTATGCCACCTGGCACTTCTACGATTTCAATATTCCTATTTACATTGCTCGGACTATCATCCTCATCTTTGTTGCCATATTTATCACAACATATCAGCCATTGTATGCTTTGGCCTTCTTCAGATGATTGGAATGTTGAACTGAACCCTTTATTTCGCTTGTTGGGGTAGACTGTTCTAGTTCCACATGCCATGTCTAATGGATGTCAGTTATCAGTTATCTCCTGTTAATTCACCTCTCCAAGTTCTCCACTGTGCCATATGTCCTTGAGGACACATGGCACAATGGATAAAGGCATTAGTTAGATCCAGTGACAGGACCCAAAGAGTTGTGAGTTCAGTACCTGGTTAAGGCAGTGGAGAACTTGGAGGCAGGAATTAACAGGAGATAACTGACATCCATTAGATATAGCACATGGAACTAGAACAGTCTACCCCAGCGAGCAAAATAAAGGGTTCAGTTCAACATTCCAAGCACCTGAAGAAGGCCGGAATGTACAATGACCGAAACATGATAAATATGGCAACAGAGATGAGGATGATAGTCCAAGCAGTGTAAATAGTGTACATAATACCTCATCTCAGAAATATAGACAGATATTCAATATTCCTGTTAACCCTGCGTTAGTCACATGGGGTGTTTTGTTACCTCCAAATGTTTAAAGTACTCGTAATTCTTAGTTGACAACTTGTTTCTTTTGCTCCCTCCCACTACTTTGCTGAGGATGTATAGCATGTGGTATGGTGCAGTTGTAGGGGCAGGCAGATGTCACTTTTGTTGTCTTCCGGGTGTCCTGTCACCCCACCTGAGTAACAAAGGTAAGTTTTCATGATTTATATTTTAAGTTTTCGGCTCTTGTTTTGAAACACGATAACTCTTATGTAGCGTTGGAATCATATTTTTAAATAAATAATTATATTTATGCTCTACTTTTGTATCGAGCACTATTTTTTAAAAATAATAACAAAAATACTAAAGAACTTTGGATTATTTACCTAACGAGTTATTTTCTATATATTTTTACACACACACACATATATATATATATATATATATATATATATATATACATACAAGTATATAATTGGTGTATACGGAATGAATTCCAATAACCAACAATTACTATTCTTAAGAGTGCTCAATACAAAGTAGAGCAGATATAATTATTTTTTATAAAAAAAAAAAATTATAACATAAATATGTTATAAAATCACTACAAAAATAGCCATTTTGTTTCACTTGATAAGACACCGAGGGTGTTGAAACAAAATGGCTATTTTTGTAGTGATTTTATAACATATTTGTTATAAATTTTTTTTTTTATAAAGAATAATTATATATATATTTCAATTAAAAGGTGCAAATATATAAATTCATGAATCATTCATACAAAAAACAAATATAGAGGTTAATGATTTAAATGGCGAGAATACATCGTCGCAAACTATATAAATAAGATACATCAACCCCGAACCTGTATATGAATGATATGATCCCCGTTTATAAATTCCAGTTGCATAAGGTCTTTTTAATTTTTACAAGCTTTCGTCTGTTCCTACAGACATCATTAGGTATGGAAGTAGATTTTGTTCTTGTTTTTACTTCTCAGTAATAAGAGGACGAAAATAGAGATGTAATCTGAAAAAATGCTATGAGAAATGTGTTATTGTTTTGGAATGTGCAGTCACAACGCTGAGTTTGAATTTAAATTTTAAGGTTGTGCATTTTTGTACAAATATAGCAATAAGAGAATTCTTTTTTACTGGTAGATTTTCCATGAATATGGCATGAACTATATTGTTCAATAATTACAGTAATGTATTCTCGCCATTTAAATCATTAACTTCTATATTTGTTTTTTGTATGAATGATTCATGAATATATATATATATATATATATATATATATATATATAATTTTATTACTCTTTCAGTCCTGTAATTATGAGTTCAGCTAATGTAATATCTTTCTATTCATGGAAATATATTGTCACTATGTTTGATGTATAAAACTTTTCTCAATTATTGTATTGGTGTGTTTCCCCTACAATTTACAACATACATTTATGCAACAAATTTATTACAATTTTCATTTCAATGTATAATTATATCTTCAGTTCAAGTTTTGATTTAATGTCCAATGTGATTGAAAAGTAACTCCCTATATGTATGATAGACTCCCTATATGTATGATAGACTCCCCCCATCTAACTATAATTTTTAGAAAACGGGAGAGTCCATCTTACATAAAATAGGAGGTTACTTTTCAATCACCCTGTATATTGTAAAGGAGATTGTCTGTTATGTTGGTTTTTTTTTTTTATTGTATTGCTGCATTTCACCTACAATTTATAACATGTTGATGCAACAAATTTATAATTTTCATTTCAATGAATAATTATAGCTCCATTTCTAGAAGATTGGTTGTAAAGAGGTTTTTGAAAAAGAAAAGATTTAACCATATTCTCCAACTGCTTATAAGCCCACATTTTAACTTGTTAGTGTGTTGACAAAGAGAGGAACAAATTCTGACAGGTTGCTAGAAATTCTTGCTTCTGGAAGCTGAAACACTGAAATCTGAAACTATTTTTTTAAATTTTATGTAGATGTTTGCATGTTGCTAGATTCTCAGCTGAATTAATGATTCTGACAGGTTGCTAGAAATTCTTGCTTCTGGAAGCTGAAACACTGAAATCTGAAACTATTTTTTTTTAATTTTATGTAGATGTTTGCATGTTGCTAGATTTTCATTTGAATTAATGATTCTGACAGGTTGCTAGAAATTCTTTCTTCTGGAAGGCTTATTATTGAACACTAAAATCTGAAACAATAATTTTCTTTATTTTATGTAAACTTTTGCATGCTGATAGTCAAATCAATTGTGACAAAAATTTGCAATCTCAATTATATGTTATAATGTATAAAGTTGATATAACTGCCTTAGCAGTGGTTTGAATTTGGTGCCAGTATAAGCAACAAACTAGTTACAACTGACAAAGTTTCCCCAAGCAACTACCAAACCCCCTTAGACATATTAAAACTATTTCAATTCTTTGTCTTTGATGACTTCAGGTTTCCAATGACCGTTCATTGGTACAAAGACAATATTTACTTCTTTTTCATTATTCTCTTCCATCTACTTCTCCAATTACAGTTCTTTCTCAATTCCATTCTTAACATCTACATTTTCAACAATGCTCACCTATTACAAGGCTCAAGAGCAACTCAAGGTAGTGGGTTACTGTGCTGTGTTATATGAGCATAAGAAAAGGCAAGAAGTGCAATTATGTAGCAAAGATAGCAATTAACCCTAGATGTGAAGAGTTCAAGATTTTAGTGATTGGGAAAACATCCTGTAGTCTGTTTTTTTTCTGGCTTGTAATAAAGTTCCCGAATTCATTTCCTTCAAACAACAGAGGAACACAAGTCAAACAATATATGTCTCCTGCTTGTTACTGCAGTCACACTCCACTGTTTCATCTTTAAGAACGTTCTGTAGATTAACAGGTTATATTTGCAAAGAGAGTCTTGCCAAAGTAACTGACTTGGAGATCTATCTTTGTTTAAATATATGACTTGTAAAGCTGCCATTTTCATTTTGGGAATATTTTACATGTCCAAATCCATTTTCAACCAGGAGGTAAGCCATTTTTGGCACCACTTTAGCATGTATCCTACTGATCAGCTTCTGTTTTAGTGTGTATCTTGCTACCACATTTGCATCCTAAGGCATCGTAAATATATTTTACTGATCAGTTTCTGTTTTAGTGTGTATTTTGCTACCACATTTGCATCCTAAGGCATTGTAAATATATTTTACTGATCAGTTTCTGTTTTAGTGTGTATCCTACCACCATATTTGCATCCTACATTATTAAGGCATTGTAAATATATTTTAGTCATTTTAACAATTTGCTCATACTTTAAATGATTTATACAACCCATACAAAACGTTTTTTCAGGATTTTTTCCAGTGAAAGTGCTGTGACTACCTTCCTAATTGAAAATGGATTACTGAAAGATAGGGATATTTGTCAAAAGTGTGATGGACCTGTCATTCAAATTACTAAAAAATCATGAGGAAAGGATTGGCCAGTATGGAGATGCAGGGGTAAGGGTTGTGAAGCAGTTAGCTCTGTGAGAAAAGGCAATCATTTCTTTTTGTATACAGATTTAAATGGAAAAATACAGTGTTTGTGTGGATCGGTAGGACACATGATAAAGTGGTACCCCATTTTCTCTAGTGTTACACATCCTGTGAGGAGTCTGTTCCACAAAGCAGCAGTTTTTGCAAAAAAAGCTATCTGAGTGGAACTTCCTCCTTACTAATAGAATATGAAGGGAATGGGGATGATTCACTCTTGTGTATGTGGCAGGGTGGGTCCCAGGTTTAAAGGTCAGGGGAGTGGGGCTAAGGAATGAGGCTTGTCAGAATGCATGCCATGGAAATAGCAATAGAATAGCAAGATGCTTGCAATGTTTTGTCTTTGGGAAAGGGCTTGTAAAGTAGAAAATGATTTATCACCCACAAATCCATGCAGATGTTTTTGAATTCTATTAATACAGGCAAGTGAAGACTGGGCAGCTCCAATCCAGATATGGTAGCAATACTCCATTTTTGATCTGATCTGGCATAAACATAGAATATACCTGGGGGAGTGTTATACTGGAACACACCTATTCCATTGTTAATGAACTCTCCCACCTATAATAAGTAGGAGTAGTAGCAGTCACTGAGTCGCTCAGTAAGTGGGTCAGTCAGTCGATGTCGGACAACCGTTAGTTGGATATTAGTCTCAGCCACCACAACTAGATTACTGCGTCATTACCTATTATATCAAGTTCCTAACGTTTTGTATGTCAAACCTATTTTAGGACCAACTTAGTACAAATACAAGCCTCCACTGTGAAACCACTACATAACAGGGAGTCAGATACTTACTGAAGTAGTACAATGAACAATTTTTACAACAGCTTTGGAAATAGATCATATATGTGAGTTGCACTTGATGTCTGGGGCGAGCTTGAGTCCCAGTAGACATTCAAGCCAAGGAACTTCTTTGAGAAAAACCCCATCCATCAAGATAGTTGAAAGTTCAGGAGATTTTTCCAGATGCACTTTCAACATTTGTATATCTGTGTCATTCATTGCATTTCTTCTAATAGATTTTCCTCCTATAAAATGGTCAACTCTCTGTACCGCTCCAGTAAGTACCTGACTCCTCATGCTATCCTCTACCTTTATAAGAGCCAGATCAGGCCGAAAATGGAATACTGTTGCCATATTTGGGTGGGAGCTGCTCGGTCCACATTTTCCAGTCTTAATAGATTTCAAAAGTGTCTCAGAGTCCTTGTTGGAGAAAAATTATTTTCCACCCTCCAACCTCTCTCTCACAAGTGAGATGTGGATAGTCTCTGACTGCTCTATCGCTACTACCATGAAAAGTGTTCAGACAAACTGCATTTCTTGGCTCTGCCCAGTCTAAACTTCATGGCTAGGACCCACTATGCCACTTACATAGCAGCAAGCCACCCACATTCTCTCTCTATTCCATTGGCAAGAAGTAAGTTCCACTCAAACAGCTTCTTCTTGCGAACCACTGCCTTGTGGATAGACACCTATACTGGGTTATTAGTTATAGTGAAGTGTAGGAGTGTTGAAACAGATTAGTTTGATTTGGCCTTGTTAGTTAGATGGCTCACCATAAGAGGGGTATAAAACAAAAATATCAAATTGTAAAGTGAAACAACAAATTTATATACATATAAATCAATTAAGGTCTTTACAAATAAAATTAATGTATTTTGGTTGATACAAGGTCATCAAAATGTTTGTAGTAGTCCTTGCAAGAATGAGTTTATGTGTACGTAGGCAGGAACGTATATGTGGATGTATGTATGTATGTATGAGCATTATCATAGGGTAGGAATGTCTTTGAAGTAATTGCTCAGTCTTAAAATGTTCCGTTCATTTATCAGGTATAAAAGAGGTGAGGGAGAAAGCTAGAGATAATAATAATGATTGTTTGACATTTGTCAAGGGATGTGTTAATACGCTTGTCTCCTTCTCTCTGGTGACAGGTGAACTTGCCCGTCTTTTATTTTGTTTGTGGGGCTTGAAAAGGTCATTTGGGAATTCACTCCTGGATATGATTCGGACCTTTCCATTGGATGATGAACAAACTTTGTGGTGGCTCGTGAAAAGGTCCATAAAAGAATTTGCTTCTGAGAATTGAAGATTATTTGAATTTTGTTTTTAAATGTTTCCTAGTTTTCTATCGGCCGAAAAACATTTCACATTAAGGTGTGAAATTTCACGAGTTTTGTTTTGGATTTGCTTTTGTGTGTGTGTGTGTTAAGAAAAGTTTGTAAATTTGAGTCTTTTTAATTTCTAACAAAATCAATGAGTCAGTGCTTAGCATTTGAATTTTAAATCTAGATCTTTTTTTGTTCACTACACACCCGAGGGGATGTTTCCCCAATCACTGCAATCTTAACCTGTTCAAGTGTAGAGTCAACTGTTATCTTCCTCTGCTATCCATATAAACCACCCCATAATGTAACCCTCTGCCTTGAGTGGCCCCTGGGCCTTGTACAGTGTAAACCTTACTGTAAAAAAAAAAAATATTGCTTTTGAACAAATTCACTTCCCACTTTCTAATAAGAGCTATTTGATTCTTTCATTTTAACCCTTTTAGTGGGATATTGTTACAGCATTAGTCCCATGGGTTTTCAAACATACCACTTAAACTATAGATATATCATTTAGTCCTTAATTTTCTTGTTATATATTGTCTAGAGTGTTCTTTCTGGCTTTTAAATAAAAATAATAAAAGCAAAATGTTTTATTTTGAAAAATTGAATTAAAAGGCTAATATTAAAAAAAAATAATTTTTACAATTTCAAATACTGTAAATTGTGATGTTCAAGTCGAGTTTACAAGCCTAAGAAAATTTTTCCTAAATTAGAGGTTGACTTGTATGGCAGGTATAAAATGCAAACCTTTACCGAGTTGTGAACGAATGAGACAGAATTCCTGACAATTACTGTATACCACTTACCATATCTCCAGCAGACTGCCACAAATATATCCCACTAAAAGTTGTGTGAACATATTTAGCATGATATGAAAAAAGAGAAAAGGAAAAACATATCTGATGCATCGTGTCCTCTGGAGGTAAATGTCAAGGATTTTATTTTGTAAAAAAAAATCTGCTACACACTTTCATTTATTAGACATTGAACTGTATCACCTACTGTCAATGAACTTGTCTGGCTTTTCCACTAAGCTGTTGAATATTCATAATCATTCCTTTACCAAAATATTTTGAAAAACAAATAACATTATTGCTCTTATATATAAATACTTGTCACAAAATAAAATCTTTACATATGAGAAATTTATTACATAAATTAAATCATCAGAGAGACCCCTCTCTCCCATCCATGGTATGGCTGATGCTAACCTCCAGGAAAATGACTCTTTGCACCTTCTTGGAATAACGTTCTCAGCTGACATGAAGTGGAAAGACTATTGAATCCATTGCTTGGTCAGATGCTAAAAAAGTTGTTTTACTATGTCATTTGAGACAATTTTTCTCTCTAGAATGTATCTTGCATATCTATAATCTACCATTCATCCATACTTAGAATATTCCTGCCACATATGGTCTGGTGCCTCTGCTATTCACCTTGAGCTCCTTGATAAAATCCTCCCCAAAAAATCAGCAATATTATTGGTCCAGATCTGGCAGCTCAGCTTCAGTCATTTTCCTGCTGCTGTAAGATTGTCTTTCTGTGTCTTTTCTATAAATATTTTCATGGTAATTGTTCGAATGCATTCTTCATTATGGTAGCTAGGCTTTTTTTAATTTAAGTACAGTACTAGACTGGTGTCAAGATCTCAACAATTTACAGTTGAGTTGGCTAAGTGTTTCTTTTCTTGCACTTCTTGCATGTAGAACTCTCTTCAGTCTCTATGCTTTCCAGCCAACTTTTATCTGCAAAAATTTAAATGCAATGTCAATTGCTATCCTTTTGATTACTTTATCCTCTTCCTGCTCATTAATGTTTCTGTTCCTAAATCTTCCACACCCTGTAACCACTTGTGTCTTAGTGGCTTTATTGCCTTGCTTGGGGGTGATACCAATTAAAAAAAAATATTGTCCTTTTACCTGAGCTATATTCACCCTATCTGAAATTTAAAACACAGAAATTACTATAAAATAATAAAATGCTAACACAAATGAAGTATTCTATTGACACTACAACACGTATCATGTCCAACAGCTGATGTACTAAGTGTAAACACTGATATTATGGTTAGTGTCTTAAGTGGTTTAGTTATGTAGTTTTGATACAGATTATTGTACCATAGCCTAACTTCATTTACCAGAAGGCCTAAGTTTTCAGCCACTTACCATGTTATGTTTGGGTATTGACCTATATGATAGGTATAAACCTAACTCATAATTTTGAGCTAAAAATTTTGAGGTCAACATGTATGCTGCAATTTATAGTATGCAAAAATAAGTTTCATTTTATTTTTATTGTGATATTTTAAAACAATTTATGATCAATCTGGTTCCTCTTCAATATTTTTTTCTTCCCATTCTTCATTATAATTGTTCTGATGAACTTTCGTCTATGGTTCCTAGACTTTATGAATTTAAGTTCAGTACTAGATTGGCAGCTAGGTCTCATCATTCTACAGTTTAAATGGCTAGATGTAACCATCCGTTCTATGCTAACGGTTTCTTCTCTCACACTTCTTGCTTATGGGACTCTCTCTTCCAGCTTCTTGCTTTCCAGCCAAATTTGATCTGCAAAAATTTAGTTGGTTGATTTTTTTTTTTTAAGTTACTATGATCTTTGAATCTGTTTCTACCACATTCATTACAGTCTTATGTGCTTGGATTTCACACTAATATTATGACTAAAACCAGAAGTTCTTTGTAGACTAAGAGATTGAAATCTCTTGATTCAAACCATGTCCTTCCTCGGTGGGTATTTTGTAAATTCTCCATTAGTACTTTGAGGCATTGTACTACTACATTGTAACATTAGTACCACACTAAATAATAAGTCATGTGATTTCATTATTATTTTGATCATTTATTTACATAACTTGCAGAATGTTTTGACATTATAATCTAATGATTGGTCTATGTTAATCCTTCATTAGTCAAGTGGGAATTTCTTACAATATTAGTATTGTGAGGCTTTCAACAGATCATCTAAAATATGATATAATAATAATAATAATAATATGATATGATTTATATATGATAATATATTATTATATATAATTTAGTTCTTAATATTCTTGCTATGTATTGTCTTGAGTGTTCTTTATGACTTTTATAGGGTAAATATAAATAAAATAAAATTAAAGGTTTTATTTTGAAGCATTGTCACAACATAAGTACCACACTAAGAAATAAATAATGCAATTTTGTTATTATTTTGATATTTTCTTTACATAATTTTTAGAACATAATGTTTCAACATTATAATCTAATGATTGGCCTGTGTAAATCCTTTGTTAGTCCAGTGTGACATTGTTAGAGCATTAGTATCAGGAGTTAAAATATGATATAATAATAACATTATAATATACATAATATGATATATAATGTGTGTGCATATATATATATATATATATATATATATATATATATATATATGATAATATATAATTTATATATAATTGTCTTGAGTGTTCTTTCCAGCTTTTATATGGTAAATATGAATAAAATAAAATGAAAGGTTTTATTTTGAAAAATTGAATTAAAAGGTCACTATGTAAGGTTACAAATTTCAAATCTACAAATTAGGTTTCATTTTATTTTCCATATGATCTTTTAAAACAATTTATGTCTGATTTGACTCCTCTTCTACTGTTTTTCCACATTCCAATTAAAGAATAAAATGGTTACTATGATCTTTGCATACATTTTTATCGCAATTATCATAGAAAGTCTTTTCTTTTTAGTGGTGTGCTTGCAATTTGCACAAATACTATGATTAAAACCAGAAACTCCTTTCGCTCTAAAAGGAACACTTCAAATTCAAACCAACATAAAGGACTCAACATAGTCTGAACCAAGGCTTCAATAATAGAGCACTCAGTGAGGATAAAACTCTTCAAACGATGCTGTAATTGCAGTCAGTACCTTACTAAGAAATAAGTAATGGGTTTTTGTTACAATTTTGATATTTTATTTACATAATTTCCAGAACATTACATTTTAGTTTTATAATTTAATGATTATGATTGGTTTGTGTTAATCCTTTGTTATTTCACTTGGGTATTGTTACATCTTTAGTATCATGAGGCTTTCAACACCCTCATGTAAAATATTATAATATATGAGATATATATATATATATATATATATATATATATATATATTTACACACTATCATAATTATTAAAGATCATCTTTGCTTTAGAGTCATGTGTTTTTTTTTGTTTTTTTTTTAAAAGTTTACTTTGATCTTTGCGGACGTTTCTATCATAATTATTAAAGACCATCTTTACCTTAGAGTCATGTGTTTTTAATTCACACAAATATTAACTAAAACCTGAAACACCTTAGGACTTTTGGACATATCAGAATCGAAATACTGGTTCTTGTCTAATCACCAAAGTTAAGCAATGTCCAGCTTGGTTAGTACCTCGATGGGTGACCACTTGGGAATACCTGGTATTGTAAGTACTACTGCCATATATGGGTAGGAGCTGCCCAGACATCACTTTCTAGTTTCAATAGAGTCCTAAAGCATCTCCAGATCCTTGTGTGTGACAAATTATTTTCCACCATCCAACCACTTTTCCATGGATGAAATGTCACAAGTCTCTTGCTATTTCCATGGAAAGTGTTCAGACGAACTACATTCTTTAGTTCCACCAGTTCTGACCTTCACGGCTAAGACCCACCATGTCATGCCCATTGTAGCAAAGCATGCAAATTCTCTTCATTTTCTATTGGTGAGATGTAAGTTCCACTCGAGCAGGTTCTTTCTGCAAACCACTGCTTTATGGAACCGACTCCCAAGAGGATTGTTTCTCTGATTACTACAATCTTAACCTGTCTAAGTCTTGGGTTAAACCGTTAACTTTGCTACATATCCTCTTACTCTGTGAGTGATTCTTGGGCAAATATCATTGTAAGTAAAAAAATAAAATAGTAACAATCTATAGAAAAGTGTCAGTTTTACATATTTATAGGTCTAATGTTTATCCATGCTTTGAATATTGCTATGGTCTGGTGCTCCTGCTATATATTTAAAGATTCTTGATAAAATCCAAAGAAAAATCTGTGATGTTATTGTTCCTAACCTGGCATCTCAGCTTTTGTCATTTTCTCACCACTGTAGTTTCCCTGTACCTTTTTCTATAAATACTTTCATGGTAATTGTTCTGATGAAATTTCCCCTATGCTACCTAGACTTTATGAATTTAAGTGCAGTACTAGATTGGCAGCTAGGTCTCATCATTTTATGGTTGAAATGGCTAGATGTAACTGTAAGTTCAATGCTAACAGTTTCTTCTCTCACCTTCTCTATAAATATTTCATGGTAATTGTTCTGATAAACTTTACTCTATGGTACCTAAACTTTATGAATTTATATGCAGTACTAGATTGGCAGTTAGGTTTCATCATTCTACAGTTTAAATGGCTAGATGTAACCATCAGTTCTATGCTAATGGTTTCTTCTCTCACACTTCTCACTTGTGGAACTCTCTTGCAGCTTCTTGCTTTGCAGCCAACTTTGATCTGCAAAAATTTAGTTGGTTGATTTTTTGGGGGGCTTGATTTTGTTTCGTGATATATCAACCTTTATGGATTATTTAATGCCGAAATCTAAATATTTTGCCTTCAGCTACAGATAAAAATGTATTGTTGGCAATTTAACTACAAATATATAATGTTGGTAATTTTTTTTATATATAAAAACGTATTGCTTGGTATTTTTACTATAAAAATGTATTTTTTATACTTTCATACCATTTGGGGGGGGGGGTATTCACTATTTGCCCACAGCTGGGACCCTAACAGGCATTACCATCTTGGGTCAGGGTGGACTTGGATATAACAGCAATTAAGAGGTGGTTCCACGATCCTCAAAACCTGATCAGAGGCCTTGTTGCTGAATGTAGTTTATCATTTCAAAAATTTAAATACAATGTCAATTTTCTTCTTCTTAATTCCATTTCTTTTATTGTTCTCTCTCATTAGTATTGTTTCTCTTTCTTTCTTATTTTATCACACTCAGTAACTCTTTGTGTCTTAGTGGCTTTACTGCCTTATTTGGGGTTGTGGTGAAATAGGAGCAAGGAATTCTAATCTACCTGTTGCTAAGAGACCACAATGTCTTATCTGCCCATTTGGAGCCACCTTTTGCAATTTAGGTAAAGCACAAGTGTGGTTCTAGTACTTTTAAACCTATCACCAATTTACAAGTGGAGTCAAAAACCTGAATAAAAGGTGATCTGTAGAGACTAACAGGAGAAAGGATCTACAGAACTTGACGTTTGTTGGACCAGGGTTCGTTGCGAGCATTAACTACAGTGGTGAAATGATGTCAGGAGGATATAGGTTAATCTTAATAGCTTAGTTAAATCCATCACAACAACAACAACAAGAAAAAAAGAAAGAAGAAAGAAAGAATAAAGAAAGAAAAAACAATAAAAGAAAAAAAAGGAGGAAAAAGAAAGGAGAAAAAAAGAAAGAAAAAAGAAAAGAAAGAATAAAGAAAAAGACAAAAGAAAAAAGGAGAAAGAAGAAAAAAGAAAAGAAAGGAAAAGAAAGAAGAAAGAAAAAGAAGAAAAAGAAAGAAGAAAAAAAGAAAAATGAAGAAGAAAAAAAGAAAAATGAAGAAGAAAAAAAGAAAAATGAAAGAAAAAAAAAAAAAAAGAAAAAAGAAAAATGAAGAAAAAAAAAATGAAGAAAAAGAAAAATGAAGAAAAAGAAAAGAAAAATGAAGAAAAAGAAAAGAAAAATGAAGAAAAAGAAAAGAAAAATGAAGAAAAAGAAAAAAGAAAAGAAAAATGAAGAAAAAAAAGAAAAATGAAGAAGAAAAAAGAAGAAAGAAAAAAAAGAAAAAAGAAGAAGAAAGAAAAAAAAGAAAAAAGAAGAAGAAAGAAAAAAAAGAAAAAAGAAGAAGAAAGAAAAAAAAGAAGAAAGAAAAAAAAGAAGAAAGAAAAAAATAATAAATTAATTCAGAATTAAGATTAATCCAGTCTGTTTCATGGTCAGGTTGTTCTGAAAATTGGTAAAGAAAAATAATCATTTTTGTCTTTCAAAAAATAAGAAAGGAAAAATACAATGAAAACTTTTAAATATATTTGAAAATTTTTTTTTTTTTCCCTTAAGACCAGATGCATACAATGGACAATATTTGACAAGAAAGCCACTAAGTACAAAACTTTATACTTATTGTAAATAGTATTCAATACCTTCATACATTTGCATAAATCTTTTGTTCACATATATGTATTCATATGTGTATATCTGTATATGCCAAACAGGGAAAGTCAAAGGTCATCAATTAGGTTTCTCAAAATACATAACAACAGTCAAAAGTACATTTTTATTCAATACAAGAAAATAAAGAGGATCGTTTCAGTTCTGTTGAGGACATCTTCAGGAAAACAGACTTTTCTCAAGAATCACTACTTTGGGAAATAGACTTAGAAGATGCTTCCCCATTTACTACATTTACTTAAGCATTTCAAATAGAGGGTCAACCGTTATCAATCATACATACCCTCATGATCTGCACTTACCTCCTCCATACAACCTCTACCTTGAGAGGCTCTTGAAATTTGTATTGAATAAACATTTAGTATTTAAAAAAAAATAAAAAAACATGATATCCTAGTAGTTTGAACACTTTCTCTAACAGGAATTCTAATATGGTTACCCATTTGGAATTGGCTAGCTAAAATATGGCTTAACTTCAGTGATCATTTCACATGCCAATGCACAAGGACTTTAAGCTATGCTTCAGCTTCAGAAGTAAAGTTAGAGTCTGGGTCCATTTTAATCTTGTCAAACTTCGAAAAAAAAAAAAACTGAGTTTTCATATTTAACTTGAGGAATGAAAAAAACACAAACATGGACACAAGTCAAAGTTATATTTTTGTTACATATAGATGCATATTTCTCAGCTCATGGATAAAGACACGATTTGGGGTTTAAAAAGAAAAAAATTATCAAATTTTAGTTTAATGTTAAAAAAGATGAAAAATATTTGTTGAAAAAGGAATTGTGGGTTCAAATAAAATTTACAATTGCTTCTCCTATATATATATATATATATATATATATATATATATATATATGAGTAATGGTGAGGTGAGCACCGAGTGGCAACCGTCTGTTTCAATCTTCAGGCCAAAATATGGTTTAACTTCAGTGATCATTTAACATGGCAATGCATGGGGACCTGAAGATTGCATACAAACATGAAACAGATTGTCACCACTCGACATTGAACTCAGCATCCACTCATGTTTGTGTCTATATATATATATAATCTGAAAAGAAAAACTCAATACATCATTAAAGAGTTTGGTAATAATTCATTCCAGACAGACAACTGGCATAAACCATTTTGTAACTCCAGTTTGATGAGGCAGTTGTCTGCCTGAAATAAATTATTACCAAACTCTTTAATGATGTATTGAGTTTTTCCTTTGATGTATATCATATTGCTCTGTATTTTGATATATTGAACTCTCTTCATAGATCTATCTGGTTAATATTTTATATTAAAAGGACTTATTTGGATTATCCTTACCACTTACGGATTTGATATTATGATATATACATATACATATATTTCTACCCATGAGATTAAGCACTCTTACCCATGAATACAGCATACCTAAAAACTATATTTTTATCATATATATATATATATATATATATATATATATATATATATGATAGCATAAGTAACAAATAAGAAATGTTTATAAATTTAACATTTTGCTTTTATTTAAACTTCATCAGAAAATTAAATAAATAAAAGTAAAACATTAAATTTATAAACGTTTTTTATTTGTTCTTCATTCTGTCAGATTGTATTCCATATTTGATTCCTATATATATATATATATATATATATATATATATATACACATATACATACATATATATACATACACACCATAAATGCTTGATTTAGTGTTCCCTCTCAAATAAGCACCCTCATTTCCCCAAAGAATTTAAAATAAGTGTCCCCTCTTGAATAAGGGGGTGTTTATTTGGATCTGGGTGTTTAGACGAGAAGTTAATTTAATCAAAATAGGTTTTGTTTAAAATTTTTAAATAAGCCAATGCCACCTGCTGCTAAATTGAGCATATATAAATATATTTCAAAAATAAAATTGAATAAAAATGAATTATTTTCCTTAATATCTACATTAAGCAGCAAAATGGTTGTTTAGCCTTAAATATTTCTTCAGAGTAGAATTTATGTAGAAAATTGGAATTTGTAGAATTCTGACTGAAATTGGTAACAGTCAAATCTCTTCTGCCTTTTGAGTATTTCCTCTCTCTGCAAATATGGATTCTCAGTTGCACATTCGAAAAGAAAATAAAGAAATTACTTTTTGCATATAAACCTTTGTTCAACTGTGATACACTGCCAGTCTTTGACAGAGCTAAGGATATAAACTTGTAACAGTAGCAAATTTCTCGTT